AAGCTGTAAGAGTGGTGTGGTCTGGACCAGTTTTCTGTGAGATGTGTAGAGAGAGTTGGCACTGTAAGGTGTAGAGAGTGTTTGCACTGTAACGAATTAAACAGAGAGCATGATTGTGACTGTGCAATAAACAAGTATGTTGAATAATGAACAACCATAGTGTGCATGTATGTTAAATAATGGTTTAAGGCTGATATAATGTACTTGAGTATGATTTTTCTGTTGCACTCAGTTACTAGAGTTTAGAACCTGCATAAAATATCTGGCATTGAAAAAACACTGACTAATACGATGCAATGTAAAGTTACAGCAAAATAAATATAAGGTCATAAAGAAATAGAAAAGGTGGTCATAAGTAATCAACTAGTTGACGCAATGGTAACCTGAAAACTAGTCGAGGTTTTGTTTGCTAAAAAGGAGGAATAAAAGTTTTAAGCTGCCTCCAACCAATTTTCAATGTATCAGTATGCAATGTGTTATTTCTACTATTTTAATGCATCAGTATGCAATGTGTTATTTCTACTACTAATGCTACTAATGAAGACTATAATAGAAGAATATACGACAATGAAGACACACCATGATTGTATTTGTGTACCGTTTTCACTATGATGCTTTGAACATTAAGCTTTTGTGCTGATTAAGTGTTTTAATTAAAGTTGTTCTCATCTTATCAAAAAAAACATTTCTGTTGTTCATCATTTATTGGCTTATTTTCTTTCATCGTTTTTTCGTTTTTTTTTCAATCTTGTTGATTTAAATTATGCGTGGGTGGTGAGCATATCTTTTTACTTTAAAGAAAAAAAGGATTGCATTTGCAGACTGCTTTCGATAACTTCCATATGAAGCGCTGGCGACCAAAGTGATGACGTATTCAAATTCATGCATATCGATTTTGAAAAGTACCGTGACTGTTGTTGACCTTTATGGCTTGCTTTCATTCTTTTGCTTTTCAACTTCGTAGACTAGTTAGATATGTAATCTCCAAGCAGATCCCTATTGGTGGCAAAAAGACAGTATCAAATTGGCCAGGCAGTATCCATTAGCCAGAGAAGCTCCGCAGCCACCGACGGGGGTGGGGGTCAGGACAAACAAAAACGGCCATATATAAAAAGGTAACGATCATTCCCCCACAACCTTTGCTTGGAGAGTAAGATATGTGCATGGAAAGATCGGTTGCTGGTGTACTGTTGTTTGTCAAATCTGTTTTGATTTTATCCTTGTCTTTGATTTCCATAATCCGTACGTGGGAGTCAGACTTCGCTAGTCAGTTGACAAACACCGCGCCTTCATGTAAAGCTTAGTTGTTGTTTATCAAATCTTTTTTGCTTTTATCCTTCCTTTGAATTTCTATAATCTACGTGGGGGCCAGTCAGACTTCCTTACTCAGTCTACAGACGCCGTGCCTTCGTGTAAAGCTTAGTTGTTGGTCTACTAGTACTGTTGTTTATCAAATCTTTTTTGCTTTTATCCTTCCTTTGAATTTGTATAATCTACGTGGGTGTTAGTCAGACGTCCTTACTCAGTCTACAGACACCGTGCCTGGTGCAGGACGTGTTTTTGCTGTACAGAAACCTGACAACTGGCATCATGTCGGGAGGGCAGCAGCCGTCCCAGACTGGCGACACCGGAGGTAACATATTTTCTCTTAATTTGTTAAAATCTCCATGTTCTATTTTTTTCCGATGGGCAGTTATTTCTATAGTTGTCGCTAGATTTTTTTTATATTCCGAAATATGCAATCACAAGACGTGGTGACGGCACACTCAAGTTTTTTCAACTTATATTAATGCCGCCACCAACACAGGGACAGTACAATACTCATTTACACCTGAGCGAAATGAGGAAAGTCGTGTAAAGTGCCTTTCCCAAGGGCACAAGATCGGTGGCATGTCAATGTCAGGACTCGAACCCGGGGCGTCTGGTTCCGAGTCGAGAACGCTGCCGCTACGCCACACGACCCCACAAAGATTCGCTAGATTTGCTTTTACTCTGGTTATCTGATCATTGTACCATCTGACTTTAATACAATGCATATGATGCATGCAATATCATTCTGTGAGCATGTGTGTTTTATGGACCCTACAGGCTTCGGGAGGCGGCTGGTAAGAATAGAATTTAGCCAAATAGACAGATAACATGCCATGATAGTTGGTGTAGTGCACCCGTCCGCTAGAGAGTACAGTTTGTGGTGCTGTTTGCATGATCCTGAAGCTATACTCTCTAGCGGACTTATTCCCCTGTCATGTTATCTCTCTATTTGGCCAATTTCTACTCTTTCCAGCCGTCTCCCGAAGCCTGATAGAGGTACGCAGGGGTTTTTCTTAACAGGGGAATAAGGGAGCTGCTCCCTCATGTGACCAGCCAGCTCCCTCATATCAATTTTCAGATTGAACCCAAAGTGGCTACTTACACACCATTTAGTCTTTCTCAACGGACACAACTGGTCGGACGACGAGGACTTATCCCGGCTGCATGATGACAAGTGCCACATGACAAGCTTCACTCTGGGTCAGTCTGGGTCAGACTGGGTCAGACTGGGTCTTCACTCTGGGTCAGACTGGGTCAGACTGGGTCTTAACTCTGTCTTCAGTCTGGGTCAGACTGGGTCTTCACTCTGGGTCAGACTGGGTCAGACTGGGTCAGACTGGGTCAGACTGGGTCTTCACTCTGGGTCAGTCTGGGTCAGACTGGGTCAGACTGGGTCTTCACTCTGGGTCAGACTGGGTCAGACTGGGTCTTCACTCTGGGTCAGACTGGGTCTTCACTCTGGGTCAGACTGGGTCAGACTGGGTCAGACTGGGTCTTCACTCTGGGTCAGTCTGGGTCAGACTGGGTCTTCACTCTGGGTCAGTCTGGGTCAGACTAGGTCTTCACTCTGGGTCAGACTGGGTCAGACTGGGTCTTCACTCTGGGTCAGACTGGGTCAGTCTGGGTCAGACTGGGTCTTCACTCTGGGTCAGTCTGGGTCAGACTGGGTCAGACTGGGTCAGACTGGGTCTTCACTCTGGGTCAGACTGGGTCTTCACTCTGGGTCAGACTGGGTCAGTCTGGGTCAGTCTGGGTCAGACTGGGTCTTCACTCTGGGTCAGACTGGGTCTTCACTCTGGGTCAGTCTGGGTCAGACTGGGTCTTAACTCTGGGTCAGACTGGGTCAGACTGGGTCTTCACTCTGGGTCAGTCTGGGTCAGACTGGGTCTTCACTCTGGGTCAGTCTGGGTCAGACTGGGTCAGACTGGGTCTTCACTCTGGGTCAGTCTGGGTCAGACTGGGTCTTTACTCTGGGTCAGTCTGGGTCAGACTGGGTCAGACTGGGTCTTCACTCTGGGTCAGTCTGGGTCAGACTGGGTCTTCACTCTGGGTCAGTCTGGGTCAGACTGGGTCAGACTGGGTCTTCACTCTGGGTCAGTCTGGGTCAGACTGGGTCTTTACTCTGGGTCAGTCTGGGTCAGACTGGGTCAGACTGGGTCTTCACTCTGGGTCAGTCTGGGTCAGACTGGGTCTTCACTCTGGGTCAGTCTGGGTCAGACTGGGTCTTGTATTCAACAAAATAGTAGCAAGGAAAGTGTGGTGCTGCACTCAAGTTCAAGTTCTGTTCATTCGTTCATTCCTTCCCCAGGTGGACCCGCGGAAGCAGGTGATAGAGAAGGAGATGAAAGCTCGTTACGAGATCGGCAAAACGATCGGAGACGAGTTCTGTTCATTCGTTCATTCCTTCCCCAGGTGGACCCGCGGAAGCAGGTGACAGAGAAGGAGATGAAAGCTCGTTACGATATCGGCAAAACGATTGGAGACGGGAACTTCGCGGTTGTGAAGGAGTCGAAACTGAAGAACACGGACTCGGAGTACGCGCTGAAGATCATCGACAAGTCCAAGCTGCGGGGGAAGGAAGACATGGTGGAAAACGAGATCGCGATCATGAAGCACTGCCAGCACGAGAACATCGTGCAACTGTTCGAGGAGTACGAATCTGAACACGACATCTATCTGGTGAGTTCAAGATAGCAAGTGGACATCATAAAATGAGAGGGCTAGGAAAAAACTAGAATAATATGGCTATATTTACTACATAATACTGAGTCCACCGAGGCATCGACCAGGTCCTCAGACTTTGCTTTCATTAGGTTTTTCCAGTTAACCATATTTTCAACAAATATTCTCAGTTTATTCTCTTCTGCTCCAAACAAATATCTGGTGAGTTCATTTTCATTTCAGTTTTGGTACAAGTCATTATGAAATAAAGACTAAACTTTTACTGTCAAACACTACAAAGAATTGGGACTTACCCCAAATTTTCGGGCCGACTCCATCAACCTTGTTTATTAATACTACTTGATGTATATTAAAGATCAATGCATAGGGCAATGCTGTAAGCAGTAACCAAGTAAACAAAGTTTAGCAGATGCAAAAAGTATGTATAATAAAAAATAGTTGAATGCAAATTTTTGAGTCTTGATTAATGTTTCAAATCAGATGAACTGAGAACTGGAGAAAGTTCTGTTGTTAAAAGTGGTCAAAAGACAAGATGGAGGCCCTACACTTCCCCGAAATCTTAGCGTGCTTACATTTACAGTCTATTTGGCCAATTTCTAGCCTCTACCAGGCTTCAGAGGGCGACAAGCTGTTCTCTCCAGCAGACCAAATCGCCTGGCATGGCTCTCTATTTGGCCGATTTCTACTCTTTCCAGCCACCTCCCGAAGCCTGGTAGAGGTTAGCCAATTTCTACTCTTTCTAGTCGCTTATGAAGCCCGGTAGAGGCTAAAAAAAGCGTACAAAAAACGGCTGCTTGCAGATAATCGTATTGTCATGATCGTTACCATAATGTAATTTCCAAGGCCATGGCAGCTAAAAGAGTTACTTTTTGCGCCATATCACTACATTTCAGATGTAAAGAAAACGATATCCACAACATACAATTTGCTTGGCCCAATTCTGGGCGTGTCTCTGACGTCAGTACTACGTCAATTTTTTCTGACCAATCAGGTTAGCCCAGGTAATCTCGTCACGTGGTCTCTCTCGACGAGACAGGTTTACGTAGGGCGGAAAATCCCTCTGATCTTGCAAAGTGTGCGGTTGCTCAGCTCCGTTCAGAACGCGACACAACTCCTCAGCAAAACGTTTGCGTGGCCTTTAAAATGTGAATACAAATAAGGCGCTATGAAGACGCTGATGATACTAAGGTACGCTTCCTTGTCTTGAATCCTTACTCTTTTCTCAATCTTATCTCAGGCTGATATGTGTAAAGTTTTTTCTCTAGCTCGGTTGTTTTGACATGATAATTAATTTCTGTTCTTCTTTTTCGTAGCCTGTTACTTGTGAACGCAGAAGCTGCGCCTGCCAGTCAGAAGGTCGAAGGTAAAATTATTAAATCCTTTTCTTGTTTTACGATAAGCGTAAACTTTCGTGGCAGTTTTTGTGGCAGCTTTTGTCATGTTTTTTTCATGCATGCCCAGCTGTTTACATCGCAAGGATGTACAGGAATTTAAATGGAAATCAGCGAGTAAACAAATGCAAAAAAAATCCTCAATTTGAAGAGACCTCTCGCTGAGACTTTAAATATTTATTGTTGTTCACGTGCTCGGAAGATTTTCTCCTCCATTGCTTGCAGAATGGATCTTAGGTTGTTTTTTCTTTCTTCTTTTGGCGACTTTGGGATTACTTGAAGTGGTTTGGGAGTGTGTATTGGCTAATTTGTTTTGTCTGTGCGTGTTCCTTCCTAGTCTCCACCAGACTCCTTTTGCAGGCTGAATAAATCGTAGAAATCGGCCTAAAAAGGGTATTAATTGGCCAGAGAAGGCCGATTTGATCCTCGATGACCGGTTACGTTCTCTGGTCAATTTTATACCCTTTTTAGACCGATTTCTACGATTTATTCAGTCTTCAAAAGGAGTTGTTGTTGTTGTTGTCCTTGTTTAACGTCTAATTTATCGCTAGACGTGGTCACTTGGTGCTCGTTTTCGCGTGGTTCAGTTCAGAGTCAAAAAGGCTCTCTAGGTATTTAACTCTTGATGCCTTGTGCTTGAGTGAAGCTGGAAGTGTTTTTATAAGAGCACATAAAAGTAGTCTGGTGGAGACTACCAGTACATGTAGTTCCTATCCGTACCAGGCGACTCTGCGGCGCTAGTTGGAGTGGATTAGTGTTTATTGCCGGGAATAACAAAGGGATTTGTGTCTGAATGGAAACCGATTATGAGCCATTTGGTTCACAAATAGGCTGGAAAAGACTGAACAAAGACGTCAAAAAAGTCAAATTAATTTGCGAAACAAAACTTCCGCATTCGGTGTACAGTTGCACGTGTTGATCATTTACATCAACTTAAAATTGACGCATAAATACTAAACTAGTAATTTAATGACTTCTTAAATCAAAGACTTTGTCTAGAAATAAAACGGGCGTTTTCTTTTACTCTAAGATGAAGTTTACCACTTTAGGCATTCTAGAGGCCTCTAGATTATGCTGATAGAAAGGCACAATCAAGAAGTAACTTCATACAAAAGAAATACTAGTACACCGTGTACATGCGCGTCTCTTTCCTCGCTTTTCTAATCATGATCTCAAGGACTTGATAAAAGGGCTATAAGCCGAGTCACACAGTAAAGTACACACTGTTAGAAGAAAGACAAACTCTTCAACTATATAATTAATGAATGGATCCGGTTCAACCGCCAGTCTCTAGCCTCTACCAGGCTTCGGGAGGCAGCTAGCTAGTCTCCACCAGGCTGTTAAACTACGCTGGCTGAAATATAATTACATATCTGGCGAAGTGGGGAGGATAACATTAAACTTGTCATGAGAGTTTGGATACCATAGGGTTTATTTCCCGCACTGCTATTAGTGTGAAAATGTAGGCCCACTCTCCTGGCCTTGCGGGCCAAATGTTTAGGCTACCAGTTTTTGTTGAAGATTACTACCCATAACCCCTAATTAAAGGAAGGCCTGGTGGAGGTCAACATTGTGATGTTTGTTTATCTGGTCCAGTTGCTGTGTACCATATTTAATGTTACTCATATTCAAGCAGATGTGAGGTGGTAATAATATTTCCTTATCAGGATGTTCATCACAGAAAAGCAGGAGGCATTACATTTTCCCTCCCAACATCTGTTTTGTTACTGTCATCCTTATTTTGTCCTCAAAGAATACAGAATCAGAATGTATCTGAAGTTAACAGCATTTTTTTGTGTGCTGATTGTAAACATGTATATTTTCTTTATTGTAACTACAAGCATTCAGACTCTATGGAATCCTGCATTATGCTGTTAACTTTACTTTTTAACTTTATTTCCACACAAGATGAGGCTGCCCAGGGGAATGTGAGGAAACAGTCAGATGATTTCCATCCCAGAAGTGTCTTCAACCAGCTGAGAAGCCTCATCAGGACTCCCAGACAAGTGACACTGCAGGAACCAAGTAAGTCTGGGTCTCTAAAACCTGATGTATGTTTGGGAAAAGTGCACCATGCACTAGCCAAGAATTGCAGTAAGTTTTTAGTCTCTACCAGACTCTAATACTAATACTAGAAAGTTGCCAAATACTTAATAGACTGAATGATATGCCAGAGGAGTCAGGTAGTTAACATTTATGTTAGTGTAGGTTATGTTATGTGTTATAGGTTTTATACAATGTAATGTGTAACTTTTTTGACTCCAGCAAGAGGAGTGTAGTATACATTGTACTCGCAAATATCAAATAAACATAAACAAGGACACTTGCAAACCAGGTTGAATATGCAGGTACTGATACAGATGTGGCTGTACACTGCATGCCATGAAGATAATCTCAAAGCAGACCTTTTAGTGGCCATGAAAGACAGTATCAAATTGGCAACACAGTATTCATTAGCCAGACAGTATCCAGTCGCTAATGGACACTCCTCTGGCCAATGATTACCATGATGAGAGCCATCATATTAAAAACTTCTCTTAATTGGTTGTTCTCAGAATCGACCAATCACAGCACGGAATGCTGCGAGAATGGTGGCACTTGCATCTTGGGAAGTTTCTGCATGTGTCCAGGGAACTTCACGGGAAGGTAAGACGGGCAGAAAATAAGGTCAAATGTAGGGTTTATTTACTGTTGTCAGCTGTTGTAAGAGTTTAAGCTGGTCAACCCCCACGTTTTTTTCTATATTTGGGAAGCAGACCCTTGTGCAAAATTAGGAATACATTGCCACCGGGCATTGTCAAGTGTCGGCCTCCATGTTATGCCTCCACAGTTTTGCCCAGACAACATTGCAAGGTTGCCAACATGCAATTTTGTATATGCCATGGGTTAAGGTCCAGACTTATGAGTCAGGAACTGAATTCGAACCTAAACCTCTGGACATGAATCTGGACCTGAACCTAAATGTGGGTTTAGGTACACAGCATGGCCAAAGGTAATTGTACTGTCTGCCCGTGAAGGTACTGTGAGCGCCGCGCAGTGACCCTGGCCTGCGGAGACGTGCCGCACAACGATTGGACGTTCCAGGGCTGCAGCCTCTGTCGCTGTGGCAACGGAACCTTCCTGTGCATCGAACACGTCAGGCCCGACTGCGGTGAGTAGTTCTCTATTTATTTATTTATTTACTTGAATTCACCACAAGAAGCACAAATGAAAGGGAGGACAAAACAGGCCTTGGTGTATAAACACCTTTAGAAGTTGCCCTCTATTGTTTGTTTGTTTGCTTGTCAAATATAGGTGCTTTGTGTGCTTTATTCAGAAAGCCTCTACTAGCAAGCATACAAGTACAAACAGACAAGTATATAGCTATGAGGCCCGACTACTGTGGGTGGTGATCTGTTGTTACTAGTGATTAGGGCTGATTTAGGTACATTGTACACGTCTGACTGGTATACCTGTACCTGAACAAAATAAAATACTAGTGGACACCATTTTTTTGGATTTGAACAACCCTAAGGACAAGACCATCTTGCCACTATTTTCAGAAAATTTTTTTAATATTCCCGTTCTAACCCAGGATCCGAGAGAGATGTGGCGAATGTGGTGAACAGGGCGGACAGCCTCAACACCCTGTCCGTCCTCGACTTGTTCGACCAATCACGGAACAGCAGCTCCACTGCCCAAGGTCAACACCAGGAGCTGAAGGTCACCCTTCTGGTCAGTCTCCTAGCAACTATCGCCGTGGTGATGACCTCTGGACACATGATGAAAATTGATTGACAGTATCCTAGCAACCGTCACCATGGTGATGACCTCTGGACATGCGTGGTGAATGATGATTGACAGCAGCTCAAAGTTGCTGTTTATGAAATGATGTAGAGGAATATTGGGAAGTTTATATTTATCAACCTTCTCTCTGCTGCCTAAGCCTGTACAAATCTGATGCCAAAGTTTTATGTGTTTTATGTTTAACAGTTTCATTCTGTTCGTTAAGTTATCCCCGAATGTTTAGTGTTCAGGGAAGCAAAACATGAGGGGAAGAATTTTAAGTTCTTTCAGTTTCTTAAGTTAAGTTTTAACGATTTACTTTCTAGCTGGCTGGAATTTGAGGAAAAAAACAAAGATGCAAAAAAAGATATGCCAAATGCTTCTGCTATAAGGACTAGCTTTAAAATGAAGAGCATGGCAATAAGATTTAAGTTATAAGTTTTACTGTTACGTTAGCATTTAGTTTACCTAATATCATTTGTTCATGTACATATTGCAGAGTTTTAAAGATACTGCCTTTTGTTAATTTTGAGTTTAAACAAGACTAATAAAGCCTGACAACCAAAACCTGTTTTCAATGATGTTTTCACCATTAAATTTTTCTGGGCGAATCTAATATCAAAGCTGACAGAGACACTGATGTGCAGGGTTGGAAACAGACTAACTCCAGACAGTTCCAATTAAATCAGACTGCACCACCTGCCTCGTATAATGCCAAAGGTACACAACGTTCTGAGTTACAAGAATAGGTGGCTTGTCGTATGTCCATGACGAGGAAGCAAGCTGCATTCTCAGTGCTTACAAAATAATGAATGCAGCGCTGTTGGTCTTGCCTATTTTCTACCAGACTCCTGCATTGGGGGGGGGGGGGGTAGTGATTAGGAATTACACAAAATTTTCGGCCCTGTATTCGAATTTCGTTAAATTCTCAGAGCTGATTAGGACTTCACGCTTTGCGCCCAATGTACTATTACGAATTACATTGAGTTTCGGGGAGGCTGCCTACGGATTACGAAGATTAAAAAGGCCTGATTACACCTTACGAAAAAGGGCATGCAGGCCCCCTTCTATGTGTTGGTGGAAAATACATGTAGTAGCCATTGAAATATTCATCCAAATACATGCATGTATACTGCATGTATGTATGCTTGGAGACTATGGCATACAAAGCAAGCAAGATTTCTCCAGACTGAAAAATTGTTCAAAATGACAAACTCAAAAAGGTGCTTTACAGGTACTTTACATTTGTACAATACTTTATTTCCATTAATACTGACTCCTTGAGTTTAAATTCTTTAAGTTATCATCACCACAGTCTGGAAGACTGCTACACCTCACCTTGGAAAAATACCCCACACTGAACATTTCACATTCATTCTAACGTGTATCAGAGTGTAAACTGTTGTGACTTTTTGTAGCTACCTCGTCAATACTGTGATGTTGACAATGTACACACAAGTAGGGAGGGTGAAAGATAGTTGTGAGCCTTTACCATTAATAAACGGACTAGAAATGAAATGGAAGGAAATGGACTAATTTTTACAACTGGATTGCAAAAGGATTTGGTGAGTGCATAAGCCTGACTACGTCACGCATGTAAAGCGTCGGTCACAACCCACCATAAGTGCATCTGCGTGCTGTCTACCTGCAAAAACATGCGCAAACGTGGGCGATCCGTAAGTGGTGAGTATCACCTCCGTACGGAATCCTACGGATTTGGGAGCACGCAGACACGCCGTAGAACTTTAAGTGCATGTAAAACTTTTTCTGCGTCCGGTCTACGGATTCACCACCCGTGCATGCGAGTACGAACGACGCGCGTGCCCCGTACGTACCGTATGTAAGCAGCATGTGTGAGTATGGCCTCCTTACGGTAATGTTGCAATCGCACAGAGATTGTACGTTGTAAGCACGTACAACTCACCACTTGCACAACGAACGATGCACGCAACCGCTCAACGATGCACGCAACAGCTCACAACCAGACGTGGCGTGCAGACCACAGTCGTCAGACCGTGCAAATGACGTGCGTCGATGCCACTCCTTCCCCACGTACGGACAAAAAGCATGCATGGCGGGTTGTGACCGAGGCTTAAGGGGGTATGTGACATTTCAATGTTTTACCACAATAGTACTACAGATGTGTTGGTTGCCCCTTTTACCGACATTTCAAATGTAGTTGTAGGTTGGGACTACATAATTGAGTTTACATAAAAGCTGGCCTTTGACAGCTTTCTAGAATCTATAACAACACAAAGCATTTCAGAAGTTGAACACAATTGAGGCTTTAAGCATGAAATGGCAGTCTGACAGTCTACTCAGTTACACCCACATTGATGAAAAAATGTTTCTAAATTTCATCCATGATTATTAGTTCATCCCACTTGATACATGTCTTAGTCAAACATAATAATATTTCAGGACAAAACAAATAAAACGACAAGATACAAGGAAAGGCCAATAATACATAAAACCACGGATATCCAACAAGAATAATTAGAATATTAGTGGCATGATGGAAACTATGATAACTGAGAAGTCAACATTTGGTCTTCTTCCTTCTCTTAAGTGATGAACATGATGTAACAGAAACCTTATGGTTCATGTACTTTTAATATTGTGTGCCTAACCTCCCTTTTGGAAGATTTTGGAAGTACTGGGTACTTTCTATGTACTTTCCCAGACCCTTACATGTACTTAGTCTCCACCAGACTCCTTTGCAGGCTGAATAAATAGTAGAAATCAGTCTAAAAAGGGGATATCATTGGCCAGAGGAATTGGCAGCCCAGAGAAGGTCCATTTTCCAATTTCTACTATTTATTCAGCCTGCAAAGGAGTCTGGTGGAGACTAACAAATGATAGAGCATGGAAACAGAAACTCAACAGAATGATGCACAACTGAACTTGTAGGGATGAAAAGTGTCACCCACCATCTTCTTAGGAGTATCAATCTCTCAATGGATTCACAGTGTCCCCTGCCTATCCCTACTTGTAGTGCAGCAAAATGTTTTTTTTTTTGGTCTGAAGATGTCTCAATTTTCAGTGGTTTGACTTGGAGAAATGTGTCATCTTACTGCCATCAAAATCTCAGTGGATTCACAGTGTCCCCTATGGATTCCTACTTGAGGTGCAGCAAAATGGAGACTGAATTTTCTAGGAAGGACTTTCAGTTCGACTTGGACCTGTCATCTTACTGCCATCAAACTCTCAGTGGATTCACAGCATCTCCTATGTATTCTTACTTGAGGTGCAGCAAAATGGAGGCTGAATTTTCTAGGAAGGACTTTCAGTTCGACTTGGAGAAACCTCTCATCTTACTGCCATCAAACTCTCAGTGGATTCACAGCGCCCCCTATCTATTTCTACTTGAGGTGCAGCAGCATTGAGGCAGGATTTTCTAGGTAGGATTTCCAGAGGTTGGAAAATCGTGCCATCGTGGCTCCGTCGATTACGCGGTGGTCGGCCGACCAACTTGCAGCTAGGATGTGAGCAGCGTAGACTTCACCAGTAGCGCCAAATCTGGGCAACACCTGAAGAATCAGAAGGCAAAAAAACATTTGTTGTCTGTTTAAAGTTTAGATCCAACACAAAGAAGTTCTCTCACCTAGAGCTTTCAACCAGTCACTCTGGTCTTCCTCAGTAGACTGACCCAGTGAGGCTTGTCACATGGCTTCTTTGTGTGACATCAACACTGGGTCAGTCTACTGAGGAAGACCAGAGTGACTGGTTGAAAGCTCTAGGTGAGAGAACTTCTTTCTGTTGGACCTTAAGTTTTAACTTCAAACATGTAACTACCAACACAGATGAACTTTCATGATGATAAAATTTGTTGTCATTGAGGTACCAAATGAGTGATATTAACATCTAAAGGGCCAGCCAAGCCATGTCTCAGAAATTCATGCAGACAGCACCAAATCTCTAAGCAATAATATTATATATATTAGCCACCTTTATGTTTCATCCTAAACATGTTCAGACAATATTTAACTGCAACTAGATGACCATATGTTAGGTTGTGACTTTAAGTATAACAGTAAGACATGTTGTAGTTGAGTTGTGCTTACCTGCACCTTGCCCAGTGCTCCTATCGCCACCTCAGGAGGCATAATGACAGGTTTGGCATAGGTACCTCCAATCTGAAACACACAAAACATGATATACCATTTGAATAAAAAAAGTATAAAGATAACATTTTCAAGCAAATGCATAATGTTTATCTTCACATGGTCTAGCCTAACAAACTACTGCTGTTTATTCTTACTCAATCACATTCATACACTTTTATGTGACCGGCCCGGCCAACTCTGTTCTGCTACATTATGTAACCGAATACCACAAGGTGTCTGCTGCAGTACCAGTTACCATGGTGAGAGACGTATGGTCCAGGTCATTGACCCTTTGTGTTTGGAGAAGGAGAAGAAGAAACAGAGCAAAAACAAGATGTTCTCCTTCTGCAAAGGTAAACATAAAAATACTAGAGAAACCATGAAACTCACCGCTCCTATATTAGAAAGTGTGAAAGTCCCTCCTGTAAGGTCCCCGGATCCAAGCTTGCCCTGCAGCCCCAGACTTTGGAGCCTGTTTAATTCTGCAGCCACCTCCAGTACAGACAGGCACTGGACATTCTTCACGTTGGGCACCACCAGACCATTGGCTGTGTCCATGGCCAGGCCAATATTGTGAGATGCCTGCAAAATAAATGTACATTTCTTTTAATAGTATGCACAATTACATAGCAAAAAGTTATAAATTAGGTTGGTAGGAGAATCAAGAAGTATATTCAATATTGAAAAATCAAAATCCAGGTTATTCTGAAAACCTAATTTGTAAACTGACAAAAATCTAATTTGTATACTGGCTAATTTGCATTCTAATTTACATAATCTACATGACAATGTACCTTCAATGTCATATTTTCACACTTGTCGTCAACAGTTGCGTTCAAGACTGGATACTGTAGAAGTGCCATGGAAGCAGCCTGAATGGCAGAAAAAAACATGCAAATGTTGACGAAAAAGCTAATAACAGTAAACTACATCTATTTACATAGGAGCTTCTCCCATGTAGTTCTGAACTGAAGTATAGGCAAGAAAATCCTTATTACAAGGGGAAAAGTGTATGTGAAGTCTGCGACAAAGACAACACATTTGAGACCAATTTAGGACAAGCATTTTCAGTATAACATCAAGTAAAAATACATGGAATTTGAAAAGCTGGTACTGAAAATTATTTAAGAGTATAAGTAGTAGAAACTAGAAAGTATGTTTTCCTTCACATAGTGTAGCCTAACAAGCTACTCCTCCTTACTAAAACACATTTGACATTCACATAGATGGTAACACTTGCAACACAATGTAATCCAAGACCACAGGGTGTCTGCTACAGGACCAGTTACCATGGTGGCCGCCATCTGATCCAGGTAATTGATCCTGTATGTTTGGAACGGAAGAAGACGAAACTGAGCAAAAACAAAACATTTCTAAAGTCTCACCTTGATAAAGAAAGGCATAAAGGATAGCCTGACTCCATACTGCTCTGCTGCTCCCTTCAGTTCTGCCCGTAACTCTACCAGCGCTGTCATGTCTACCTCGTCACAGTAGCCGAAGTGTGGGATGGACTGGGACAGGGTCATGGACTTCACCATGGCCTTCCTGAAGCCTAGAAATACTCTCACTTTCATTAACTAGCACTGGAAACACTTTTACTTTCATTAATCAATTATAAACTAGAGCCGTCATGTCTACTTCATCACAGTAGCCGAAGTGTGGGATGGACTGGGACAGGGTCATCGACTTCACCATGGCCTTCCTGAAGCCTAGAAACACTCTCACTTTTATTAACTAAACATGGAAAGACTCTCACTTTCATTCATTAACAATTGGAACACTTTTACTTTCATTTCAACAGTAAATAGTGGCGGTAGAACAGTATAATTTCAATTTTTTTTATTTTCTTGGCGAAAGGTTTGTTAAAAAATTCAGCAGTGATATGCAGACCTTATGATCAACGCTTCACAGCTTCCACCTTTCACTTTTCAGGAACATTTTGTACCTATACTTTGTTACGATGTTACGAACAACATCCACTCACCCACTAGATGATTGATTGATCAATTGTTGCAAGGGTAACACAAATAAACAAATAGGTAATTACTGTTACGTTCTTATGACATTATTCACAAAATAAGTCTCTTTTTCTTTCTGTTGCTAGGAGGTCTCTGTATGGACCTATGCTTTGTTTGACTGTTCCTTACTTCTATAATTTGAGATGCGGTCTCTGTATCTGATTTATGGTACTTACCTTTGATTGGTTCGACTTTGTCCTCTCCAACTGCAGTCGGCACGGCAGCCACTGGCAGGGGTTTGGGTGCAGGGGTGGGGGTAGGGGTAGGGGTAGAGGGTGGGGGTGGTACGATTTCAGGGGTGGGGTAGAAGGGTGCAGCTGGGGTGAGGGATGGTTTCACATCTGAAACATAGAAAATATCATGAGTAAATTACAGATGAAACTTCAGAAAGCTTGTTATTCTTTTGAGGAAAGCATTTTCAATGGGACATGTGAGTGACAGTGCATGCATGTGTGTGTGTACCTTTTCACATATGACAATCAAAAGACATTGAGTGATGTCACTGATTGAGTGATAGTTTAGTGTCATACGTACGTCAAACATATGTACTAGAAACATTAGGAGTACATTACAGAAGAAATCTTACTTCAAAAGGCTTGTTTCATTTTGTTTTGAAGATAGCATTTTACAATTATACGAAAACTATACACATGTACAGTAGATCTAAGTTTGAGCATTGCTTTTTGGCTAACAAACACAATTGGAACCAAAATCTTACGGGTAGAGATTAAAACACAGAGATAAAACAGAAAGAGGCAAACCTGGATCAATTTTCGGCGGCTGGGTTCCTGCCAGGAAGTTCAGGACATCCTCCTTCAGTATTCTCCCATCCTTGCCTGTTCCTAGGACGTCTGACAAGTCAATCTGCAGAAAACATACACAAATTTATTATCTCTGGGTTAAAAACTAATGTCACTGAGTATTGTGCATTATATTTTTTATCTGTACCTTTAACAAGATTTACTTTTTCAGTTGTTGGATTGAAAAAAAATTTTGACACCAAAACAGAGGGGTTATGCAGCATACATAGTTCGGTGGTTAGCAACCCTTCTTTTGGACCAAGAAGTTGGGAGTTCAAGTCCTGGTTGTTTTCGCCCACTCGATGTGCACATGCATGCTACTAGAAAGGTTTGCAGTCCTTAGGACTGGACATTAAGACATGGTCCACTGTTTATTGTACTTATCAAAAAGAGTAGAGAATAGTTAAGTCCAAGTTTTCCTCCAACGTCTGTTTTCATGTTGTACTTTAAAACATACATTCTGTTCCTGTAACTAAAGACCTTCACTGGTGGAAAACAAACAAAAAGGATTCAAGCCCTGAAGTAGGTGTTAAAACAGAGTCTGAGGGGAAAGCCTGTATCTAAATGGATGACACAGGGAGTGAATATAGTAAGATTCAAGCTCCCATCCAAGTCCTGTGTTGTATTTTAAAAATTTCTTTCTGTCCTTGTAACCAAAGAACTTCAGTGATAAAGAATAAACAAACAAACAAACAAACAAACCTTGTTCTCCATGGCGAGTCTGCGGACAGCTGGCGTGGCCATGACCTTCTGACCTTTGACCTGCTGATGCATGTGTTTGTGTCCCGAGTCCTCGTCTGATGAGGACGTGTCACTGGTGACCTCCGACTGTGCGCTGTCCTCTGTGGGTCAAGGAGCAAAGGTCAATGTCAGCACCTCATACAGGGCTTGAAATACTTTTTTCTGCATACTAGTACCTGCACTGAAGCAGGTAACATTGAAAATTACCTGCACCAGACTAGTTTCACTTGCGTCACTCAGAATTTAGGAAATGTGTGATCATGCTGAAAGCTGTTCAAAAACCACAGCCATTATTTCTTTTGCATGTATACTTCATACATTCTTCATATATGCAAATAACTAGTATATTATGCCGAAAGGCAGTTAAACCGGCTTTAAAGATGTCAGAAACTGGTGTGTTATGCTGAAGGGCGGTTATACCGGCTATACTGATACAGAAACTGGTGTGTTACGCCGAAGGGTGGTTATACCGACTATACAGGTACAGAAGCTGGTGTGTTACGCCTAATATAAGGGGGGTTATACCAGCTATACAGATACAGATACTACATGTACCAGTATATATGACTGCAGTACATAGACTAGCTTACCTCCTTCCCCTGCAGTCTCTATATCCACCAGTTCCCATCTTACAAACAATCTTATCTAACCTACCTACCTCCCACGTCCCTTGACCTAGCCAAGACAAAAAAAAACAAAACTTTACCTCCTTCCCCAGCTGTCTCTATGTCCACCAGTGGCATACCCACAGCTGCTATGTCCTCCACATCGTAGTGAAGCTTGCGGACAATCCCATCATATCTGCTTGTGATGGTAACGGAGGCCTTGTCACTCTGAACCTCACAGATGGAGTCAAACTGGGACACCTTGTCTCCTACCTGGACATACCTGCGAGTCGAGATTATCATTATTTTAGTCGAGATATCATAAAATCAGTTTGATATTGCTTTCAAAAGTCCCAAGGGCATTTTCAACAGGATACAGGGAAAAACTAGCCTGGGTACCGTCCTGGTTAGTTCCCACATACAGTCACTACCAAACTTAGTAGCGTCTGTGGGAGCGGACATAAACTAACCAGGTACCCAGGCTAGGGAAAAACAATTAGGCAGTCACAGATGAAAGACTTCACCCCATTATCCACACTGCTTAGTGCTTTGCAACTCTTACAATTCCACAAAAATAGAAGCACTGAAATTGTACAACAATTCTGCATTGTGTACATGTATATTGGGAATATCAGATCACACACACACACTTACCATTCCTTAACGCTGACTTCAGCGATGCCCTCTCCAATATCTGACAACTTGAACTGTACAATCTCTCCACAGCAGGCTGAAACAACAACAACGTATTAGTATAAAAATTCAGTTTCGCCAACTTTGAATACACTTTTTCAGTTGTACCATTATCCAGATTTTAGTGTTGTATGACAACATGCTAAAATAGCTCACTGGCTTATCGAAATACTATGCTGAAAAAACATTGCAATTACATCACAACTTGCTTTAACCCAGAATGTCTACATACTGTATGCACGTACTGTATACAAGCGATCGCTATGACATCATGACCAGCAAGTGGTAGGCAAAAAGCGGGTGACTGTTGGCTGATTTGCCTACCAATAATTTGCATCTGTCTTACTTACATGTATATGATGTAAACAAAAAAAGCAATTGTTTGTATTACCTGCTGAAGATCGTAGATGCCTGAGATGTGTCTGTCTGTGTAGAAGCTCCCCCTGACAGAGTTTGGCTGTAACTGCAGGACTCGCTGAAGCACAATGGTACAACCTGGGTACCTAACATATGCGGCAAACACAACATTACAAATAGTATGTCAGTATGTCAGCTTCAACTACAACTGGATCAATGATAATCATTGTTGATGACATCTATAGTTAGTTTCTTGTAGCATTTGTGAAACAAACACTAGCAAGTACATGTAGAAACCCCTGACTCCTGGGATCGAACCCAGGCAGCCAGGTTACGATACCAGCGTGCTAACCACTACGCCAAAAAGGTCCAGACCCGTTGAAATGGATCAGTTAGCAGCGCTTGAACCCCACTGTGTTACATGTACATTTAGGTCAAGTGTGCCATGATATATGTGTGTCTCATTTGTGTACAGGTGTTGTTTAACTGGTACAACCACACTTGATTTGGCATAACACACCATCAGCTTCCTCCCCCCCCCAACATGATCCACAGAGGGTTCAGTATAATGCAAAGTCAATAAAAATCTATCAAAAAATTGTAATTTATGGTTTCCAAGCTGCCATAATATCTTGTACTACTAGTTGTAGCAAATATCAGATTTTATTTGTTTATTTGTTTACTGTCTCCTGGGTCAAAAACTACTGGTAAAGAAGACTACATGATTGAATTCCTGGGTACTAATTTTGATCCTTGCTACTAGTATTAGATACTTGTCATATGTATGCATACTAGTCTAACAAAACCTCCAAAGGAACTGGAAATATATAGGTCAAAAGTTCACATCATCATTACTTTCCCGCGTGACCCTCCATAACCCTCTCTGATTGGTCAATCGGAAGGCATTTCAGAGGTGTGTCCCTCTCGTACCCAGGGCACTGAGTGACATCCGTGGGACGATTTTTGGAGGTGTGTCTCTCAGAAAAACAAATAAACAACAGACAAGCGAGAAACTCAGGTTTTTATAAGCCTCAGACACTCAGAATACACATAATCTGAACATAAGTTACGCTCAAATTTGGATAATTTAGTCAGGTTTCAAAGCTACGTGTCTTTCTAAACGTGTGTGTTCTACTTCTAGAGCTCAAAATTATCGACCGATCACTTTGTAACCACATAAAAAGGCCAAGTCAGATCTTCATAGGCTGTTTAAGAAGTAGTTTTCCTTCGTATGTTATCAAAATTTCACTTGCCTGATGCCGAATTCTCCCAAATCTCGTACAAGTCCGAAAAGACGACCGCAACAACACTCGACCTGCCATTCTCACACCACGATTCACGAAATGTTACCGCGCATGTGTGCCGACCTTTCACCTTTCAACTCTACGTCACCTTTCACCTCTGACCCTGTCGGCTGCTAGTGTGTTGCAGAGTTGCACAAATGATTGGAACGGTGTATTTATAGCCAAAAATTAAGCGTTTAAAAGAAAGAGAACACGTAACAGCAACACTTGAAGGAAGAATTGGATGTTGTCTGCAAGCTAGAGCACTATTTGGTATCGTGACAGTCGTTTTAACGTTATTTGGAGCAAGCAAAACTTGTTCGTTTGCTTGGATAATTTTGACAGGAAAATTATTCAATATCAAGTTGCATATAATTTGCTGTATCCGGAAAATGGCAGCGGCGGCAGCTAAGGACGTTATTGTTATAGATGGAAGCTATCTGGAAGGGGTGAGTACTTATAATGTTATATCTTAGTACTGTATTTCTACAAATCTTCTGCTATCATGTTTAATATAGCAACTCATTTGTGCAAGAATGGTGGTCCAATTACAATACATTACTGTCCACCCATTGATTGATTAATTCACTCACTCATTCATTCATTCACTCACTCACTCACCCACTCATCCATTGATTGATTGATTCAATCATCAATTCATTCACTCATTCATCCATCACTCATTCATCATTCATTCATTCATTCATTCATTCATTTGCTCACCCATCCATCACTCATTCCCTCACTCCTTCCCCCCCAGGGAGGACAGATCCTGAGGAACGCCACGGCTCTCATCTGTCTCCTGTCTCAGCCACTCACTCACTCACTCACTCACTCACACACTCACTCACTCACTCACTCACTCACTCACTCACTCACTCACTCACTCACTCACTCACTCACCACCACCCACCACCACTCACTCACTCACTCACTCACTCACTCACTCACTCCTTCATCCATCCATCATTGATTAATTCTTTCATTCATTCACTCCCTCCTTCCCTCCCAGGGAGGACAGATCCTGAGGAACGCCACGGCTCTCAGCTGTCTCCTGTCTCAGCCAATCACTCATTCACTCATTCATTCCCTCCTTCCTTCCCTCCCAGGGAGGTCAGATCCTGAGGAACGCCACGGCTCTCAGCTGTCTCCTGTCTCAGCCAATCAGAGTCAACAACATCCGGGCGGGGAGGAGCACACCTGGCCTCAGGTGAGGCGGCTGTTTTTTGTTTACTTCAAGGGAGTAACTCAAATGTGCTGATGTTGACACATTGGCGCACCAAATCTGTAGGGTGTTTTTGGCCCCCAGTTAGACAATTAGCCTAAGAGGCTCGTTGGGCGTCACTCCACCATACATGGTGGGGAAGTCGTGTAAAGTGCCTTTCCCAAGGGCACAACGTCGGGCCACGGTGAGTATCGAACCCGAGACCTCTCGGTTCCTTGTCCAACACTCTAACCGCCACCTATGCCACTAGAAGGGAGTTACTTGCCTGTCTTTTAACCTGGTATCCAGTCTATTGTGGTTGGGGCAGGCTTTCTTCTGGGCTCTAATAATAAGTTTTCCCCCGTCCAGTACAACAGACAGCCCAGTAGAACCTTTGCTAGTAGAGTTGGCATGTCGGAAGTTTGATTAGCCCCACCACGAATCATGGTCGTGGTGGGGCTCGTCAAACTCCCACCATGAAAAACCAGGGGAACCTAGCTCAGGTGGGCGGGGAAGAGCTTCAAGCAGCCCCGAAGAAAACCTGCCCCAACCGTTATAGACTGTATACTAGTACCAAGTTACCTGTCTTTGTGTGTTATATGTGTGTACATGTTTGTGTGTGTGTTAGTCTGTGTGTCTGGCTGTCTATCTGTGTGTGTCAAGAGAGTTATCTGCCTGTCTTTGTGTGTGTCAGTCTGTATGTTTGACTGTGTGTGCATACTAGTATGTGTGTGACTGTGTGTGTATATGTGTGTACATGTGTAGTACATGTACTTTACCGTACGGCCCGGTCTGGAACCCGTTATCGAACGCTTCCCTGGCTTCCATAAAACGATTCGAACGCATTTCGCCTTAACCGCGTGTGCCCCTTTCAAAAATTCGAATACAGAATCCGGAGGTTGGAATTGATGTTGTTGCATTTTAGGGTTCAGTGGCACCAACTTTTGGCTCATCATGCATTGAAAGGCGTGTTTTCTTGGGTGGGTATGATATAAATAAAATACAACACGGTGTATTCCGCATCACCCTCGGTCCCGGCCCTCCCGCGAGTCGGATCGCCCTCCGGCCTGCGGCCGTCAGGCGATCCGACCCGCGGTCGGGCCGATACCTCGGGCGATACGGAATACCCCGTGTTGTATTCTATATGTATGTGTTAGTCTGTGCTTCTGCTTGGAGAGTCGTCACATGGAGTTTTCAAACCCTGGTTACACCTTACAACTGCCCTGGTTACACTATACAACTACAACTCTACAACTGCCCTATAGAGTAACACACCAGCTTCACAGGCACACAGAGGTTGGAGACCAGTAATTAGCCAACACAGTTGAGCTACCCTCAGTATGTAGCTTTTATTGAAAATGTGATCATGGAACATTACATGGGCCAGCCAAGCAGGGAGGCTGATAATGGTAATGCCACAGAGATGCAAACAAAAACACAAACTCAAACTACTAGTAAACTCAATAAGTATAACATAGGAAGTTGCTACATGTGTCTCTACTCTTTTGCTACAGTTTAGACATTGAAATATGTCAGTCTTAATATGTCTAAACTAATTCAATAACATACATGTAACTGTAAGGTAGAACAAGTTCTTTCACCGGATATATGTCAATGTCATGCACATTGTGGTTTCAAACTACATGTAGTTTTTTTATACATGTACTGTTATATAATGCACGAGATCATCCATTATATTAGTTTTTAAAGTAATTATCAATTTTATGCAAAGTTAAAATGTATTCCCACTATGCAAAATTGTGACTCTACACAGGAAATTAATTTTATCAAGGTAACCCAAAAGTTTCAAACATAAATATCAGTACATTGTGTCAAGATGTATACACAGTATATGCTAAATATCAGTGTTAATTAGGTCTCCACACAATCTTCAATATGCTAAAAAGTGTAGGTGAGGCTAATGATCCAATTAGTGTGTCCCTGTAAGACAATTTCTTGATCCAGAGTATTTTCTGGTCCCTTTATAACTTTTCCTGCCTCTATTTACCAATTTCTACATCTTGTGGTGCCCCTTATTCTAAATGTAGGCGTAAATAACTAATATTATTTGTACATTGATAGAAAAAACTCTTTATCTACATACTCAACCTTCATATCAAACCTGGTATCATGGTTAAACTAAAATGCTTTCCTAGCAATAAATGTTAGGACTCCCACTCAAGGCCAACCATTATTTTCAAGAGTAATCCTTCAATTGAAAGCACATTCTTAAGGGTTGTCTAATTCCCCAATCAATCATCTAACCAATACATCAATTGCCTAATCAATTGCCTAACCAAGCAAGCAAGCGAGCAATTGTCTAATTGTGTTTTAAACCATGAGGCATCAGGGATGTGTATGTGTGCTGCTGCTGACTGCTGGGGTTCCTCAGGGGTTCATAGTGGTGAGGGCTGTCAGCACCAGGGGCAGCTGCTGTCTGTGATTGGTTATCAACTAGCTTATTATCATTCTTATACATGGTAACCTGTGGACCAGCTGCAGCATCTTTAGCAGCTGCTGTCATCATATGGCTGTTCACATATTTGTGGGACTGTGAACCTTGTCCAGAAAGCAGGGAGGGAGATGGAACCTCATAACCATCATTAAAGCTGCCAAGTTGACCAGTTACAGCATCTTTGGCAGCTGCTGCCACATGGCTGTTCACATGTTTGTGGGACTGTGGACCTTCTCCAGGGTACAGGGAGGGAGATGGAAACTCATAACCATCGTTAAAGCTGCCAAGATGCTGAATTTGTCCTGAGTCAGATCTTTGAGATGGACCTTCTCTTATTTGTGTACGGGCACCAATTCCAAGACCTTTGTGTGAACTTTCTGACTGATTGATTTTACCTATAGTCTCATAAACTGCTGTGTCAACATCATCAGTTGGAATATTATAGATATGCTGACTGTCATCAGTGCCCAATTTTCCAGATTGATTGTACATGTTGATGTCTGGATGCTGCCTTATCTGGTCATGACCACTGGATGTGCCTGTGGGACTTGTGTTGCTTAAGCCTTGCAGATCTAGAGGAGTGGGATCCCTTTGCCTCCTCTTACGCCTCACACACCATACTCCAACGGCAATAGTGAAGATCATGAATAATCCAAGAATAACACACAGAGTAGCAAGCAGGGGCACAGACAGGAAAAGATTAGTATTAGGACCAGTGTTACTCACTGTCGTGATTGACTGAAAAGTAAAAGGAGAGCTTGTAGACTTGGCCTGTGTTGGGGACAATGATGGTGGAGAACTGGTGACTGGAGACAGGCTAAGAGTAGAGTCAACCATGTGTTTAGTGCTGGAAGTGGAGTAGATCTCTACACAGATCAGGTCTTCAGGATTTACATTCCGTAAATATTCCCCTTGAAGGTTAGCAGGCCCTGCACATCTCATCTGGCCTTCAAATGGGTAAGACCCATTCATCCTCTGCCTAAAGGGAGCCATCCTACAGTCACACTGCCAGGGGTTGTCGGAAATTTGTACATTTGAAATGGAAGCCAGGGTGTCATATGCACTGGGAGGTAATGTCTCTAACTTGTTCTGGTTAAGCCACAAGGTCTGCAGGTTACGAAGTACAACAGATATGCCAGCTGGCAGACTAGTTAGCTTGTTATTGGAAAGAGACAAGCGTTGCAGATTACCAAGTCCCACAAATATTTCAGCCGGGAGACTAGTGAACTGATTACTCTGAAGATACATATTCTGGAGGCTACCAAGTCCCACAAACATGCCAGCTGGGAGTCTAGTTAACTGGTTAGTGTGAAGATACAATACCTGGAGGTTAACAAGTCCTTCAAAGATGTCAGCTCGAAGACTGGTTAACTGGTTCGTGTGAAGAGACAAGGTCTGCAGGTCACCTAGTCCCTCAAATGTATCAGCTGTTAGATTGGTCAATCGATTTTGGTGAAGATTCAACCTCTGCAGATTACCAAGTCCCACAAATATGTTAGCCGGGAGACTAGTTAACTGGTTGATGTCAAGATACAATAGCTGGAGGTTAAAAAGTCCCACAAATATGTCAGCTGAGAGATTGGTTAACTGGTTTTGGCTAAGATCTAAGTACCACAGTTGACCAAGTCCCATAAACATACCTGCCTTTAGATTGGTCAAATGATTATGTTGAAGGTACAGATTAGTTAGGCTGGTTAGGTTTTGGAATGTTTTGTTATGGATCATTGAAATCTGATTGGATTGAAGGTATAATTTTCTCAAGATCCTGTACCTTGAGAAATCAGACTGATTTAAGGTTGTGATGGTGTTGTCAAACAAGTCAAGCCTAGTGATGTTTGTAGGCAGGTCCTGAGGAACACTGCTGAGGCCTCTGTTGCTGCAGTCACAGTGTGATGCACAGGTGCTGTTGCAAGCAGTAGTCAGACCAAATTCCTTCAGCATTATCATCAGTAGAACCAGCATCCTCCTCCCTTTGTTGGACATACTGAAGTGTCGCCTGTACAACAGAGATGAGATACATTTACAAAAGTTCATCTTTGATGGCAGGGTTCAACCAGTCTTGAACAACTCATCATCCCAAAATGGTCAATATGTGGGCATTTTCATGGACTTTTCATGGACAGCTTTTCACTCAGGCCTAAAATTTCCAAACTAAAAAAAAATATTTAAAAACTTTTTTCAGAGCCATTGTAATGGAGAAAATTATTATACTTAACTGTAAACATTTTTTTAAATCCCCTATGAAACTGTAAGTATGTCTGCGAGGATTTTTTTAGATGAAACAATTCGGAACACTGCAGGGTCTTTGACTTTGTATTTCTTCCATCACCAGGGACCAATAATATGCTGACAAGGTCCTGATTCTGTGTGTGACTGCTCAATGTGAGTTCCAGGGGCCCGAGCAAAGTACATCAAAACAGTCTTGAATCTGATGGGGAAGTTTTTACCTTGGGCCACACAGTTTCATCAAGTTTCAAGTTTTTTTTCTAGCCCTCTGTTTTCAACCTGACACCTTATTAGATTTTTATGTTAAAATGTCTATTAAAAAACCAAGAAAACTTGGTTAAACCTACTACAAAATGTATGTCTGATAAATGTGACAGATGAAATCTAAACTAACCTTGGCAGAGAGCGCTTTTGTTAGAATGGTGCAGCACCAAAGCCTTGAAGTGGCCTAACTCAAGGAAATGGCATCTGCAAAAATAAAACAAAAGTGTGCAAGGCCATGTTAAGTTAAAAAAATCATAAATCATATAATTCATGGTTTATATAGAGAATCTCCACAAGAAGGTTAAAAGGTAGGGTAAATTCAGAAATACAGTACTGTGGTATCTCCTGTAATATTTCTTTAGATCATTTCAGCTGCAGAAATAGTTTGAATTGGAAATTAACAATTCCTAAGACAGAGAGTTTAAGTTAGTACCACCATCATTTTCCAGAAATTATTTGCAACATCAAGACAAAATTGTGCAAGTTACGTAAAGTTACGGTAGGATTTGAGGTTATATACTGGATAATTCTGCTTCATTTTGGCAAAACACACACAAGACTTTTCTGATAATGATCATTACTTTCCTTACAATGGAAAATTGCCCCAAGCAACCTAGAATCGTGTTGAACCTCCTCCTGTTTTTGGTGAATTTTATTTATCCTTGTATGAGTGCCAATCAAGTATAGTTACATAAATCTTGAAAAGTACCTTTAGGCCACACCAATTTAATTTCTTGGTTAACGGATTTTTCTAGAAATATAATGGAGCGGGCGGGCAAAAAAAAAAGAAAAATAAAAACAGGCCTAGGCACCCTATTATGGCCCCAAATGGTACAATAGGAGCCATGAAGTCAACACACCAGGCTGGTTCAAAATTTACACAATGAATTTTGAACTTTTAATGATACCACTGCATTGAAATATGGAATGACTGTAACAAGTAATGAGAAAAGGACTGTTTTCTACTGTTCAGGGCAAAATATGAGCATTTTGCAGTTGATTCTGAACTTTTATTTTTATTTGCAAATCAGAAAAAAATGAAGTGGCGAATCCGTTAACCAAGAAATTAAATTGGTGTGGCCTTAAGTTAAATAATTAACTTCAGTGAATAATAAGAGCTTAATTGACAAAACCTGGCACACTGTGTCAACCAAGTGACTTGTCCCTGTTTCTGTGTCGCCATTTTGTTGTGACGCATGAGCTAAAAATTTGATCGGACAATCTTTCCAAAGTTTTAACTTCTCATTGACATAAACTACATCAGAAATGAAGTAGGGGCACAGAGAAGAAGCTGATTGACTCACCTCAGTATGAAAGGAAGTTGTCTTATGTCTGCAAACTCCTTAAAGTCTCAGAGTCCGTCTTAACTGTGTCTTTCAGTGTGTCCTTCAACTGATGAGCGAGGTGGTTGGACTACCTCAACTCAAGGACGTTGAGTTGAGCCAGCACTGCCTGTAATTATGTTACATGCCCACAGGTGATACCTGTGCCAGCCTTGTGAACATAATGAATTGTTTGTGATACTCTGTATACTATAGACAGTGCTATCGGGGCACAAAATACCTTTTCTACACTGCTGTTTACTAGTAGCTACTTGTAATTCATATTCATAATACCCATTCTGATTCTTTTCATCAGGAGTAAAATAGTAGCTAGTCTATTACAACCTGACAAAAATTATCGTTTGCTGCAAAAATTCAGGTTGCAGGTGGGTATTTTGAGCCCTGGGCTCTGACGTCAGATGCCAAACTCATCACTGCCTTTAGTAAATTGTTAAACTTTAGTCCAACACACTATTTACAGGGATCAAATTTTCAGCGACCACTGTCGCCTTCATCAGGATAATTAATGACCAATCACTTCACAACTGATGAAGGTGACAGTGGTCGCTGAAAATTTGATCCCTGTAAATAGTGTGTTGGACTAAAGTTTAACGTTTACTATGGTAACCAACACAGATGAACTTTCATGATAATCATCACTGCCTTGTTATGCTCGGGGGACATTTGGGGAATAACCTTGAGAGAACTTAAGAAAAAACTGTTGCATATTTTTGTAGGTCTGAAGTGTTATGCAATTATTACATTACAAATTTCGTGCAGTTGCAGTATGTTGGTTCACACACCTGTAGTTGTTGGCAGTTATTCCCCCCCCCCCCCACCCCCCATGCAGGCAGCACAGTACCTGAGTGGTATTGACTCAGAGGTGGCACAAGACTTGTATTTGTGAGGGTGGGGTGGGGGGCTCAGAAGGGTTATTTTGATTTTAATTTATAAATATGTGTGTGTATGTGTGTGTGTGTGTGTGTGTGTGCGTGTGTGTGTTTGTCTGTATGTATGTGTCACACTGGTTATATTCATCTCTACAACGTTAACTGCCCTTTTTAGAGTAACACAACAGCTGTTCAGACACACAGAGACTTGAGACCACGTAGCCAGCACAGTTTTATTTTCCTCAGTATCAATCGAAATTATGTGACATTTACGTTACATCGATGCTTCCCACAAACAAAAATACAAACTAAAACAAACAAATAAACTCAATAAGTACGTACTAAGAAAGTTGCTATATGTGTTTCTCAGCTCTTTTGCTAGTCTAAGACATTGCAGTATGTCAGTTCTGTGTCTTAAAATAGAAGGCAATTTCAAACTATTAATTCAATCACATAACAGTTACTGTAAGCTATAATATATCAGTGAAACAAGTCCTTTTTCCAGAAATATACAAAGTCATTTCAAACCACCAGGTACATGTATTTTGCTTTTTAGATTTGTATGTAATCTAATTCACTAATTTAAAGGCTACTAAGATTATTTTGTATAGATGTTAAAATCATAAATTCCATACAAAGCTATATAGTCCCTGTGACTGCACAATTTAACAATCTGTACGGAATTAAGGTGGCCCACAGGTTCGAAACATAAATTTTAATACATTGGGTTGAAAAAGTATATTATGAAGTAATTAAACATGTGGTATTAGTACTAAGTTTACTGAATTTGAAAGCTGTACAAATCATTATTTCTTTTAAATCCCACACCACAGTTCTTTTCTTTATTTATTCATACATAACACTTAAATACATATACGTGTGGTTGATCTACATGTACAAAGTGTCCATTTTGAAATAAAATGTTCACCAGGTAGTCGAGTAGAGCAGAACCATGGGCCAGATCTCCTGATCCTGGTTCCTGTTTTTGCTGCATAAATATGTTGTATGTACTAATTTGCATGAATATATCTATTAAGAGTTTCCACACAATCTCTACATGTATATACTAGTATACTAAACTGTGGGTCATAGACCTAAGTCTGTCATTGTAAAGCAGTTCCTTGACCAAGAGTATTTTTGTGGCCCCTCTAAAACTTTTTTTTTGCCTCTACTGTTATCAATGCCCACTTTTGTTCTCAATGTAGGTGTAATATTGTACGTGTAATATTGTACATCGATAGGAAAACCTCCACCTTTATACCAAACCTTTCTGGCCATACAGGACTCCTATTCAGAGAGTAATTCTTCAAAGCTGTTGCTAAGGGTTGTCTTATTCACCAACCAATCATCTAATCAATCCATAAATCTTCTAATCAATCACCTAATCAATTAATCAATAGCCTACTGGTTTTGTAAACCATGAGGCATCAGGGATGTGTATGTGTGCTGCTGACTGCTGGGGTTCCTCAGGGGTTCATAGTGGTGAGGGCTGTCAGCACCAGGGGCAGCTGCTGTCTGTGATTGGTTATCAACTGACTCATCGTCATTCTCATACACAATAACCTGCGGACCAGCTGCAGCATCTTTAGCAGCTGCTACCACGTGGCTGTTCACATATTTGTGGGACTGTGGACCTTCCTTTGCAGATTCTATCTCATCTTCATTCTCATATACCATAACTTGGGGACGAACTGCAGCATCTTTAGCAGCTGCTGCCATCTGGCTGTTCACATATTTGTGGGACTGTGGACCTTCTCCAGGGTACAGGGAGGGAGATGGAACCTGGTAACTGTTGTTAAAGCTGTCGAGATGCTGCATTTGCCCTGAGCCTGGCTGTGATGTTTGAGATGGGCTAACAACGTCGTCATAATCTGCTTCATCTGTCCATGTATCGTGGCTGCTTATTGCATGAGCAGCTGCATCTGCTGATTCAATATGGGAATCAGCCGGAGGGCCAGTTTGATTTTCAGGGGGAAGGGAAGGGGGCGAAAACCAAGTAACCAAAGCTGTCAAGACTCTGTCTGTTTTCTGCACTTTGGTATGGATTTTCTGATTGATTGACTTCACCTATGGTGTTGTACTCTGCTGTGTCAGGGTCCTCATCTGTTGGGAGGTTATAGATATGCTGGCTGTCTTCTGTATCAGAATGTGGTGTTTCAGATTGACCTTTTATTTCTGCTTTTGTTGTAAATTCCTGCATCCTTAGCTGGTCATCAAGACCATTGGATGTGCCTGTGGGGTTTGTGTTACTAAAGCCTTGCACAGGAGAAAGATCCCTTTGCCTTCTCTTATATATACACCATACTGCAAAGCCAATAGTAGAGATTAGGAGGAGTACAAGAAAAACACACAAAGTGGCAAGAAGGGACACAGACAGGACAATGCCACCATCAGCAGGGCCAGTATTGCTCTCTGTTAGTTTTGATGTCATAGTTGAAGCAAAAGGAGGGTCAGTAGTGTCAACCATATGTTTTGTGCTGGAAGTGGAGTAGACTGATGTTGTCTCTTCACAGATCAGGTCTTCAGGATTTACATCCTGTAAGAGTTGCCCTGTAAGGTTAGCAGGTCCGGCACATCTGATCTGGTCTTCAAATCGGTAAGACCCGTTCATCCTCTGCTTAAAGGGAGCCATCCTACAGTTACACTGCCAGGGGTTGTTGGAAATGTTGACTGTTGAAATGGAAGCCAGCATGTTATATGCCATGACTGGTAGTGTCTCTAATTGGTTATTATCTAATGTAAGCTCTGACAGTGCTGAAGCATTCAAGTTTGATAAGGCTTCTACAGGGAAAGTGCTGATGTTGTTATGAGAAAGTTTCAGTGTTTGAAGCTGAAGTAGATTCCCGAATGTGTCGGCTGTGATGGTGCTGATGTTGTTGTGCTGAAGCTCTAGTATACGTAGCTTTGTTGTGTCATTGAAGGTGCCTGCCTCAATACTGTGGATGTTATTACTGTAAAAGTATAGCTCCTCTAAGTTACCAAGTCCCACAAATATGTCAACTGGCAGACTAGTCAACTGGTTAGAGTAAAGCCACAAGCGCTGTAGGTTTCCAAGTCCCATAAATATGTCAGCTGACAGACTAGATAACTCGTTCCTGGAAAGAGACAAGTTCTGCAGATTACCAAGTCCCACGAATATGCCAGCTGGCAGACTAGTTAACCGGTTCCTGTTAAGATACAAAGTCTGCAGATTACCAAGTCTGACAAATAAGTCAGCTGACAGACTAGTTAAACTGTTAATGGAAAGAAACAAGGTCTGCAGATTACCAAGTCCCTCAAATATGTCGGCTGACAGACTAGTTAACTGATTACTGTAAAGATTCAAGGTCTGCAGATTACTAAGTCCCACAAATATACCAGCTGGCAAACTAGTTAACTGATTATTGTCAAGCCGCAAGGTCTGCAGATTAGCAAGTCCCACAAACATGCCAGCTGTTAGATTGGTCAAATGATTATAATAAAGGTCCAGGGCAGTTAGATTGGTTAAGATGTGGAATGTGTTGTTATGGATCATGGAGATCTGATTGAATTGAAGTTCTAATGTTGTCAAGCTCCTGTACCTTGAGAAATCAGACTGATTTAAGGTTGTAAGGTCGTTGTGCTCCAAGTCAAGCCTAGTGATGTCTGTAGGCAGGTCCTGAGGAACACTGGTGAGGCGTCTGCTGCCGCAGTTACAAACTGATGAACAGCTGCTGCTGCAGGCTGCGGTCGGGCCAGCTTCCTTCAGGATGATCAGCAGAAGAACCAGCATCCTCCTCGCTTTGTTGGACATACTGAAGTGTCGCCTGTACAACAGAAATTAGATACGCTAGTTTAAAAGTTCATCTGTGTAACTAAATGGCAGGGATCAACAAAACTTACCTTATAGGGTCAACACAAACATTGGGCATGTTCGCTAGCCTATAAACCAGCAGTTCACTGGTATGAAATTTCAGAAACAATGTTACCAAAAAAGATAAATTAGCATACATGTACATAGATCAGTCTCCAATCTGAGGGGGACTCCGAAGTCTTTATTTTGGTCCACACAGTTTTTTTTCAGTCTGATTCCTTGTTAGATTTTTGTCTAAATGTCTAAAAACCAAGAGATAAACTTGGTAAAGCCTAAGATGGCCTTAAACTAACCTTGGCAAAGGTTGCTATTACTGGTATGAGAATGATTCTGCCCCAAGGCCTTGCAGTGGTCCAAGGCATCTGCAAAAATAAAACAAACTTGAAATAGCATGGTTTACACAATGTATGCAGTATCCATAAAGATCTTACTGAGAAGTTCAAAAGGTTATTTAGGCCACACCAATTTAACTTGTTGGTTCTTGGATTCGCCTCTTCGTTTTTTTCTGATTTGCAAAAAAAATAAAAATTTGATTCTGGTCCTGAATCAACTGAAAAATGCTCATATTTTGCCCCCAACAGTTGAGGAAAGTCCTTTTCTTCCTAGTTGTTACAGTTTTCCCATCTATCATTGCAGTGGTTTGATTAAAAGTTCAAAATTCAATGTTTAAATTTTAACCCAGCCTTTTGTGTTGACTTCATGGCTCATTCCATAGCATTTAAGCCTATAATAGGATGCCTAGACCTGTTTTTATTTTTATTTTTTTTCGCCCTGTCGCTTCATATTTTTTCTGAAAAAATCCGAGAACCAACAAATTAAATTGGTGTGGCCTTAGGGAGAAATTCAGAAATATTACGTATTTCAGAATAACCTATAACTGGTAGTCAATTATCCTTGTTGAGTGTCTTAAGGCCACCCAGTCAAATACAACTACCATGATAAAATTCCATAGAAAGGAGAGGATAATATCAGAATGTGGCTGCCTGTGTGTATTAGCCACTGCCTTCTGACATTTTCCCTGTTTGACATTTCCTTGTCGCCATTTTGTTATGGCGCATGAACTAAATATTTGATCTGACAATCTTTCCAACAATTTTACTTCTTATGGCCCATTAAAATACATCCTGATTAAGTAGGGGCACAGAGAAGAAGTTGATTGACTCACCTAAGTATGGAATAAAGTTGTCTTAAGTCTGCAAACTCCTTAAAGTCCCAGAGAGTCTGTATTACGTGTGTTCTTCAACCCTTCCCTGAGGTGGTTGGACTACCTGAGATTAATAACAGACGTTGAGTTTGGCCAACACTGCCTATAATTACGTTACATGCCCACAGGTGATACCTGTGGTAGTTAACTCTGCCAGCCATGTGAACATAATGAGCTGTTCGTGATACACTCTAAACTGCTATCAGGACTCAAAATATTTTTCTACACTGCTGTTTAGCTACTTGTAATTCATAACACCCATTCTGATTCTTTTCATCAGGAGTAAAATAGTAGCTAGTCTATTACAATCTGAAAAAAATTATCGTTTGCTGCAAAAATTCAGGTTGCAGGTGGTTATTTTGAGCCCTGCGCTGTGACGTCAGATTCCAAACTCATCACTACCTTGCTACACTCGGGAGACATTTTGGGAATGACCTGGCTTTAAGTGTTTACATGAGCTATGTAACTTGTAAGTTGCGTCTTACAGATCAACATTGATCCAGAGACAGTCCTGTAGTTTTTAACAGTAAGGGAGGGGCCAGGCTGGCTGGAGTCAGGATAGTCTTACTAATCACTTGTAGGTATTGACAGTGATCCTGTTTTCCCCCAGACCGCAGCACTTGAGCGGAATTGAGCTAGTGCGAGACCTGTGCGGGGGACGGCTGGAGGTTTGGGGTTAGGTGTGTGTGTGTGCTGTGTCTGTATCTGTTTGTGTGTTTGTTTGTTTGTGTCTCACGTGTGTGTGTGTGTGTGTGTGTGTGTGTGTCTGTATGTGTGTGTGTGCGTGTGTGTGTGTGTCTGTATGTGTGTGTGTGCGTGTGTGTGTGTGTGTGTGTGTGCGCGCGCGCGTGTATGTCTGTGTGTCTGTTAACAGTAGTCCTCTTCTCCATGCAGACCCCAGCACTTGAGCGGTATTGAGCTGGTGCGAGACCTGTGCGGGGGGCGGCTCGAGGGAGGAAAAGTCTCGTCCACGGAGATCGGCTTCACTCCGGGACAGATCCAGGGCGGAAACTTCCTCGCAGACACTCACACAGCAGGGTAAGGACAAAAATTGTTTCATCAGGTTGGTACATCATAGGACATTGTAATTTCTTTATAACTTGTTAAGTGTCTTACCTGCTTACGTTCGAGTACTCCAGTCAGAAGCTCTAAGGAAGATATATTATATTATATAGGTATATAGGTATATATTTTAATAGTATGTATATATGTGTAATATATGTTATGTACCTTATCTTGCTGTTATTGCTGTAAATACCAATGCCATTCAGGCAACACATTTTTTGTATGTCTGCAACGTTGGTATGAAATAAAGAATAAGAGAATGGAGATGTTTGACAGGCATTGAAACGTAATCAGTTGAGACAGTTTCTGGTTGTGTATAAAGAAACTCCAATATACAACAGGGTAAGGCATTGGTTTTTCAAATATCTAGGAAGTATGTATGTTTCTGTGAAAATGTAAAGATAATTGTTAAGGCCGTAGGGGTGGAGCCCATTCCTTTCCGTCCCAACCAAAGTCAATTATTACACCTGGATGGAGTAAGTAAATAAAGTCTTGTAAATGCCTTTCCCAGGCAGGACATAGTGTGTTGCCAGGAATGCCAGGAATCAAACCCACAACGTTTTTAGTTGATCTTGTGTCTACTGGCCTAGCCACTCGATCATTCATTGCCATCAGATTAATGTGTGCCATCTATCTATTCATATGTAGCCTCAATGTGCCTCCAATCAATTTACTAAGTTCTAGTCTCCACTATGCAAACCTAAGGCTAGCTGTCACAAGATCCACAGGTCTAGCAAAGACAATCCTGAAAAGTTCTGTGCAAGGAGAAAGAAGAACACTGGCTAAGACAGAAAAAGAGATACATGTAATCACAATAGGAGAGCATTTTACAGCTTTTAAAGTTATAGAATATTTCAAAACTGTTCTCTGTTTCCCCAGGAGTATCTGCCTGCTGATGCAGGTATCTCTCCCCTGTCTGCTGTTCTCCCCTGGTCCTGCACAGCTCACGCTCAAGGGAGGGACCAACGCTGAGTTTGCCCCTCAGATAGACTACACAACCATGGTAATCACTACTAATCAGGCAAAACTCAGTTTTATTTCTGGTTTTACTCAAAATACTCATATGGACTCCAGAATAATGTTATAGACTGTTATGATGTCCGTGCCAAACTCCACTGTAATGTCTTGTCTTTGTCAGCAGGGCTTTTGCTATGGGCACGGGCTAGTTGTGTAGCCCTGGCTGTGTGTGCTGAACAGCAAAACCACTAGATAAAGAGAAAGGAACTGACTTGTTGGTACTTTTGTCCACCAGGTGTTTGAACCCATAGCTGAGAAGATGGGAGTGAAATACACCTGTGATGTCAAGAGAAGGTAAGACTCAAGAAAAACAGTGGGCTAGACTTTACAGGTGAAAACAAATTTTAAAGTACAACAACATGTACAATAAACAAAACTGGCTTAATGTAGCTTTCAGTGCTCACAGATGCATAATACTGTCTGGTGGTTCAACTCTAGGCTTAGCCTTCAAAGCTCTGAAACTTATGATATACATGTAATACTAATGAATGACAAAATAAAGGTTTATGTAGATTTTGTATGGCTGCTTATTCATTCTGAGCTATGCATGGTCTCTCTTAAAGGTAGACTGTGTTATCCACAAAGGCTGATACCACACCAATGTAGTGATTTGTTAGTTCTGAAACTTACTATATGCTTATCTGGAAAAATATAATAAAAACAAACCCTAAGAACCAGGTTCATGCCTTGGTAACTCTATATGCCCATGCCTATAGAGTGAATACGGTCATATTCAAGATTTTCCTTCTTGCCGTCTGCTTTTGCTTGCTGTATTAATTTTCAAAATGTCCCCAAACCAAGTTTTATGGAGTTACCTGGTAATACAGTCACATTCAACTTTTCCTGCTTGCTACCTGCTTTTCCTTCCTGTGTTTTATTTTTAAAATGTCTGAGAAGTTGATTGGTCTGGTCTGAAAGTGTTTTTTTCTGTTTTCAGGGGGTACTACCCGAAGGGTGGTGGGGAGGTCCGAATCACCACCTCTCCGGTAGCGATGGTATCTCCCATCACCCTCATGGACAGGGGTCAAATCACAAAGGTCACAGGAAGGTCATGGGTCGCAGGGTCACTGCCTGTCAAGGTCAGTTGAAGGACAGCTCATGATTCGACCTTTTAGCTTTTATGAAGCCTCTTGTATTTCTTTAACCTGCCATCAAAGTTAATAATGTTGTTTGAGGATTCTTCTTTATTTCAAGGCATGGCAACCCCCCTAGCAGCTTTCTTTTAAACTGCAGAATACAAGTACATAAATAACATTTTAGAGACCACAATGTACATCAACTTGGCAGAGGTTTTTGCTTTTTTGCTGCTTGCAAGGTTATGATATTGTTGGCATTGGTTTTTATAGTGAAGTAAGGAGAATGCATGTTCAGCACCAAGGACAGACATAGCACTTACTGATAATTCTGTAATATGCTCTGAATGTAAGCCACAGTTTTTAGCTTTTGACTGAAAAAGTTCAGAATTGTTATTGGGGTTTGCTTTCCTGATTACAACAAAGGAATGCGTGTTCAGCACCAAGGACAGACATAGCACTTATTCGGAATTCTATCATACATGTATATGTATACAGAAATGCACAGAATGATTGTGATCATGTGTCAAACGTTTTACTCACTCTCACTTTTATATAATACTATCCGGTTTATCATCTGTTGTTTCCCATCTTCCGAGGGTTAGACGTGCTTGCAGAGCAATACTGAGGCTTGATGGCAGCCAGCCACTTGCCTCTATCCTATGGGTTGACGTTATGTAGGTTAAAGTGGAGAAAGTCCTCCCTTATGTTGTCTGTCCATCTCTTCCTTGGATGCCCTCGTGGATTTTAGCACTTTAGATCCAGTGTGTTGATCTTCTCACAATTTTAATTTGTATCTATCCGTCCTGCAGCTTGCCCACCTGGCTGGTAAGGCAGCCACATCCCTGATTAAGAGAGAGTTTCCAGATGTTCCGGTGGACATCGAGGCTGTTCAGGAGCCCAGACATGCTGCTTTTGGGAACGGCAACGGCATTGTGTAAGTCACTGGGTAGTGATGTTTTCCTGTTTTCTTCTATCTTTAGTTGAATCTTGTAAAGGAAAGCACAACTTGAGAGTTTTGAAACATTCAAGCAAAAAATATGATGTTAAGATGTACACTACAGTCTTTTACATTTCACATAACAGAAAATTTGTGTACAAATTAGTAGTGTATTTACTACTAACTTTTACTAGTACTCAGTAGCAGTGCCACGCCATTGTTGACAGTTCACAAACACGAGTACTACTGGTAGTTTCTTTTACTGCCATGCTTACCTCTAATAATGGGAAACCTGTGGTACTATTACCTATTTTTCCAATTTAGAGTGATAATTGTTCCTCTAAACCATGGAGGTAGAAAAAGAGATGGTATCATGTGTACCTGTTCGTGAAGGTTAGAAATCCAGGTAACGAGATACACATTCAAGAAAACTGTTTCAAGTATCATCAATTACTGTGGCATCCACTTCTTTTCATCAGTGACTGATAAGTAGTAGATGCTACCTGAAATGTCTGACAGTTTTCAAAGTCTATCCATTAGCTTGACTAACATTTTTCTTTACTGTGACAGAATCATGGCAGAAACCAGCACCGGTTGCAGACTGGGAGGCTCGGCCCTGGGGAAGAGAGGAGTTCAGGCAGAGGATGTGGGAAGGAAGGCCGCTCAGATGTTAGTGAAGAACATGAAACATGGAGGATGTGTGGATGAATACCTACAGGACCAGGTGGGACATTTCCTATTGAATTATCTTTTAATTTCCCAGTAAATTATCTTTTGGTGTAATGTTTTAGTTAGTTTGTAAAAGAAAAGTTAGGTACATAGGTATACTATAAAGGCCGCACAGATGTTAGTGAACAACATGAAATATGGAGGGTGTGTGGATGAGTATCTACAGGACCAGGTGAGGGTTTTCCCATTCAATTAAATCTCAGACTAAAGTGTTAGTGCATGTGTGTTGTGTTTACTGGGTAAGAGTTCAGGCAGAAGATGTGGGAGGAAGGCAGCTCAGATGTTACTTGTACTGAACAACATGAAACATTTCTACAGTTTCTACAGGTCCCATTCAATAAGTTTGGACAGATGAGGGGGCACTTTTGTTGTCTATGTTTGTGTATACTTGCGAACAGAGGAGTACAGGCAATCACAATCATAGGAGGTGGTATACACACATGTTTTTCACTCCAACTGTAGCCTGCTTACCAAACCTATGTTAGCTCCCAAGTCCTATGTCCTCTCTCTATTTGTCAAAAGGATATAGGGCTCAGGAGCTAAAATTAAGGTTTGGTAACCAGGCTAGCCCAAGTGTCTGTGCCCTCTACTTTTGCACATGTCAACTGTCTTGCTTCCATTAAATGTAGTAAGATGTAATATGTGCATTTTTAACATTTATCGATGTTTGTTTTGCAGTTGATCTTGTTCATGGCCCTGGCTAAAGGCAAGTCCTCGGTGAGAAGTGGGCCGATCTCTCTACACACAAAAACTGCTATATTCATCGCAGAAACTCTTACAAAGGTGGGTGTAGCCCTTGCTTGACTTCTAGATGTATATATTATTTCCAGTTTCTGCATGCCAGCTGTATAAGATAAATGTATATTTCAATGATTTGTTGATAAATGCTAGACATCCAGGTAATGATAATTATACATGATAAAGTCAAGTAACTGGATAGACTTTTAAAACTGTCAGGCATTTCAAGTTGTATCCACTAACTTTCCGTCACGGACGAAAAGTATTGGATGTCATTTGAAATGTCTGACAGTTATCAAAATCTATCCACTTTTTTATGTAACATTTTCCTTTTGTAGATTGTACTTCATTTGAAGTAATGAGTCTGACAGTTTTTCTTTTCTACATCTTGACTCCAGGCAAAGTTTACAGTAACTCCAGAAGGAGACCCAGAGACGGGCACCAACATCATCGAATGTGAGGGCATTGGGTTGGAAAACAGACATGTCTGACAGACATCTCAACTTCAACTACTTCTTGTAGGGCTACCTGTGTACCGAAAGTTCTAGCACAGTAACAGCAGGCATATACATGTATGCTTTGGTGTGATGGTCAAAGTTCCAAACAAAAGCAAGCTACACCTACGTGTTGAACAGCTTGCACTTTGTAATAAAGAAGGAAAAAGAATGTAGCTTTTCCATGCTTGGTAACTCTTTTGGTTAGCAACATTGGGTGTGAAACATCTTAATACTGTATGTACACTGAGCTCAGACAACAAAAAGAAATGCCTTTAAATAATTTTATTTAGTAATTATTGCCTTAGTAATGACTTAGTCATCTTTTATGTTGTGTTTATTGTTTAATCTTATGGACAAGTGTGAACAAAGGGAAAGAATAAAGTTCACAAGATTACTGATGTTTGCGTTGTTGTTAATCTTTCATACAAATCCATCTAAAGATCTTGATTTACAGGTTCAAAGACACAGGCACAGATAAAACATGTTGTTTATAGTATGAAAGTCTCATCTTTTATAGCAAGGAAATTGCTCTGTCAAGTGCAAGCAAATTCCCAATGGGAATATTGAATACAAAAACTTTATTGCACAACAACAGTAAAAGTATGGTAAATGCTGGTACAAAACTACAGTTCCATAAGGCTAACTACCTAGTACAAGAGTGCGTAGAATGGGGTGAGAACATTCTCCAAGCAGAGGTTTGGGTTTTGGCTTATTTTTGGCGTGTTTTATGCTTTTTTTATCGGTCTTTCTTTTTTAGACAGTTCTTTTACGTCAAAAAAAGCAGTACAAAACAGAAACCCCGATATAAAAGCCTAAAACACGCCCAAAATACCGGTAAGCCAAAACCCAAACCTCTGCTTGGAGAGTAGAATGAGAATAATGCTACGCATCTTGCGCTTTAGACCTATTTCGCTAGGGGTCGCCCTTGCACTGCCCAAAAACGCAGCACGGTAAAACTCCGGTGCGAGACGATTCAGCATCCTACAGTGTATTTCCAACATGGCGGTGACAATGGAAGGACCGCTGTCGAAATGGACCAACGTTATGAAGGGCTGGCAGTACCGCTGGTTCGTTTTGGACGACAGTACCGGTCTGCTATCCTACTACACGGTAAGTTGAACATTATGGAAAGCATGACAACTATATGTGTATCCAGAACCGTGCTTTATCCAGGGCTATTCCCAGGCATGGTTCTGGATAGTCCACGCGTGTCCAGAAAATTTATCGTTCATGGGGAAAATATTTACGTTCTTGGATACGCGGAGACTATCCAGAATCTTGCCTGATTCTAACCCTGACCCATTCAGCATAGAAATAGATAGGCACGGTTCTGGATACTATAATAAGTCCTTGCTTTGAGGCTATATCTGTTTATTTTGGGGGGCGTGGATTCTTTAATGTCAGCCAGCACAGATTTTCTGAATTGATACTTGACACTACATTGAAATTGATTCGAAACAACAAGAGAATTAAACAAGGGACGTTCTTTGTTGTATGAATTGCCAAAAAAAGGAAGAAGAAGACAAATTTGCCCGATTTCTTCACGTTTTTTCCAGCAGAGTTTGTGGCCATGATACTAGTAAATATTATTTTGTGGTGTCACTTACAAGAAAATTATCAAATTATGAGTTCGAAGTAGGTAAACAGATCAACAGATATGTCTGTTAAACCCTTCATACTAGATAATCATTTCTTCTGCGTTGTGTTTTCTATTTAAGTCATCTCTGAAACCATTTTGTAAGTATTTGAGTCACTTGAAACCATGAACCTGAGAACTCGCCTCTGGTGTAACCCATATTTGGTATGAGGCCAAAGTTCAAGGCAATTGAGTTACAATGCAAAAGTAATAGTGATGATGAAAAAATTGTTGACAATGAAAAAATACAACTACTGCAGCTGCATATATTTCATGAGTTATTGTTACAATCCACCACCATACGACAAGAAAGCAGGTTGTTTCTGCCAGAAACCTGTTTGTAAGAAACAGGAGGAGCCAGAAGAAACAGATAAAAACCCACAGGTCCCAGGCCGGGGTTCGAACCCATGACCAAACCGGGGAACCAGTCCATATGCCAACACTCTAACCGCTCGGCGAAAAGGTCTAGACCCATTGGCCGGGTTAGTTGGTAGCACCTATAAACCCCCAACTGTTACACTGTGGTCGTATTTACCCTCCATGAAAATGGGGGTACTGTTTTTACTCCGTTTCATGTTTGGTCTGATATCTGAAGATCGGTGAGAAGGAACTGTACGATATTTGGCAGATTGATGGATGGGGCCTTGGAGATTGTGTAGGTTGACTTTGAGCCCCTGGTGATTGACCTTGGTACTGCAGTTTAATTTTTTTATTCTGTTGTTTTCGCATTATGGACTGTTTGTGCGATATTAAGGTAGCATGTAGTTGTTATTACCATGGTTTAGTGGTTTAAATTTGGGTCCCCTAGCTGTTTGCGTTTGATATTTACAAAATGTTTAATGTTGGACTTTTTGTGTTGAATGTTTGGAAAATCTAGGGGATGGTTTGGTATGATTTTTGGTATGTGGGTAGTTGTTGAGTCTCTTTGTGTTTTGGAGTGCATTAGCAGGTTGTCGCATATTTTTATTGCTTGATTTAAAAGGATTTTCACTTTTTCACCCCTACTTCATAATAGGATGGTCTGTTTGACCCAAAAGTTGGGACAGAGTGTTTTTGTTTATACCTCCAGCTGGTAGGTCAGACCCAGGCAGCCCTATCTATTTTTACCCCTATAGAGTCTGCAGGAAAATAAATCTTGTTTGTCTGGTCTGCAGGTCATTTGTCTGGTCATTGACCTACATGTACAGGCAAATGTAGCCTGGGTACCATCCCCAGTAGTATATTCGCAAACTCTATAACAGTTTGACTCATAATATCTCTATTGAAATACACCAAAAGATTACAAAATAACAAGCTATTTCATGGAGGGATGATGTCTACGACTTCTCCTTGTTTAACCTGCATTCCTCCTCCAATCATTTCCAGTCCAAAGACAAGATGATGCGAGGAGCCAGGAGGGGCTGTGTTCGCCTCAAGGTGGGTTTGTTTGTTTGTTTGTTTGTTTGTTTGTTTGTTTGTAGGGCATAACTGATGAACTGTGTAGAACTAATCTCCAAGCAGATCATATGGTAGCAAGGCAGTATCCATTGAACAGAGGAATGTCCATCAATGGATAACTGTCTGGATAATGCCACTGTCTGGCCAATTTGGTACTGTCTTTTGCAGCCACCAAGGATCTGCTTGGTGATTATGTAGAACAAGACTTGAAAGAAATACTGCCTTGTAAGTTGTTTAATGAAATAACACCCAACCATTCATTCAATAAATCAATCAATAAAGGCATTGATTCGTTCACTTAATCAATCAATCAATCAATCAATCAATCATTGAATCAACCAATCAATCAATTAATCAATCAATCAAATTCATTCAGACAAATTAATACATATTTCTGGTATCAGGTCCACCAGAGTAGTTTAATTCAGTTGAAAACATGTTTCTAACATGTAAAGTCTATGAAATAGAAGTGTACCGCGATTACTTTTGTGTGAAATTTCTATCAAAACCTAACTTTTCCTCATCAGGGGGCCAGCATTGGTACTGAGGACAAAACCAACGTGTACGACCCTGGCCACAAATTCGCGGTAGGACAAAACCATGGAAAACCTTCGGAGGTGGCTGGGTCTTTGGTTTCTTTATTCCTTTATTTTATAGAAGCCACTGGAGTAGCTCTTTGGCTACCAATCCATTCTCTATTGGTTATGGGGTTAGGCAGCAGGGAGAAGGTTAACCTTTGGTACACTGAAGTAGCTATTTACAATGTATCTACAAATTCTCCGTAGGTTACAGAGTTAGGCAGTAGGGAGAAGGTTAACTTTTGCACAAAGTAGCTATTTGGCTACCAATTCTCTATTGGTTATGGGGTTTGATCTCAATGAGAGGGTTATGATATACATTGTACATGTATATCATAAGGGTATAAGGGTTGACTGAGGTCTTAATATGTACTAAGGTCTTGACTGAGGTCTTATGTACTAAGTGTTGAGGGGTTTCTATGTAGAGAAGTAACATGAAGTGCAATGTGCTGGCGGCATTTCTTAAATTAAATTTCAATTCTTAATTCACATGCCAACATTAACATTGCAGAGATGTACGCAAAGTGGCCAGAATCGGGTTGGTGTTTACATGGTGACAAGGACTAAAAAAATTCACATATTCTGATATGTGCATATGAATACAAACACTGACATGGCAGTTCCCAATTTTATTTCTTGCTTAGGGTGCAGTGATAGGGATCGATGATGAAGATGACAGTACTTTCACCATCAGCTGTGATGGAAAGACCTTCCACTTCCAGGGTAAGTTCAGACAATACATGTAAACTGGAACTCTGTAGAAATGACTACAACTAACTGTCAGCCATTATCTGGCACTACAAAACAGAGCTTGGCTATAGTGTGGCGTCGGGTGGTGTAGTGGTTAGAACAATAGACTGTGAACCGGTAGACCCGGGTTCGATTCCGAGTCGTACCCAGTACATGTCTGAACATGCGCCCCGACGTTGTGCCCTTGGGAAAGGCACTTTACACGAATTTCCTCACTCCACCCAGGTGTGAATGGGTACCTAACTTCAGTTGGGGAAAGTCGTATTGAGGTCATCTTGTGGCGCCGAATGGCAGCCGCACAGCCCCTTGCGACTGTGTGTATCATTTGTATTATTTGAATGTTGTAATTGTTGTGATTTGTATTGCTTATTGTGTGATACCCTGCATCAATTCAGCCGTAAGGCTGCGACTGCATGGGTACTGTTTGGACAATAAAAACCATTTATAGCTAGCCAGTGCTGTAATTACCTTGTCTTCTTGGTATGTGGAAGCTAACTTCTTCTTTTTGTACAACTGTACATCAATTTCTTTTCTGTTATCCATACATTTTTAAAAAATCTTGAAGAGTAACTTGTCTTGGTTACAGTCTTAGCTAGGCCTCTGACCATGTAAACATTATGGTAGTCAGAGGTAGACTGATGTCTGTTAGTTTATGTTAGCTGACTTTATTGAGTGATGTTATAGTACAAGCATAGTACATTCACACAGGTGTAAAGAATGTTGTTTTCTTACTTCTGCAGCTAGAGATGCGGACGAGAGGGAGCACTGGATCTCAGCACTGGAGGACACCATCACTCGCCACTCCCAGTCTATGAGTGTAGGTCTTGTAGTAAGTGTTGCACTGTAGACATATATAACAGTATGCACCACCACTCAGTCTCCTAGTGTAGGTCTTGTAGTAACTATTAGTGTTATACTGTAGACATACCAACTACTTATTCACCATCACTGACAAGACTTCTGGTGTAAGTCTTCATGTACATACAGTACACTCTAGAAATCACAGCATTGACTTCACACGACTCAACAGGCCATACATTTTGATGTCCTTGATAAACTCCATCCAAGATTCCACGGCTCACCACAACCTCTGTTGCCTGCTAACTGTAATTTGGTTTTGTCTACAAGTATAACACACGTACAGTCAGCACGTGTAGGTGTATACAGAAAAACGGATTTTATGGCCTGAGTGCACCGCTGTGTTTTTGATGTTTCTGTTTCTCCCTCCAGTACACGAGCAGCGTGACCTCTCACCCCATCACCACCACGGCTGACTTCGACACCAAACTGATGGAGGCCGACGCCTACCTGCAGATTCTTATTAAACAGACTAAGGTGGGTTAACTCTAACCCTTGACCTTCAACCCTTAAACCCTTACCTTTAACCCCTAAACTTATCTACAGATTCTCATCAAACAGACCAAGGTGTGCTGTGTCTGTTTTGTTGAAAAGGTTCTACAAAAGAATACCACGAAAATACCACTTTGTACAAGGAAGATGAGACAAGAATAAGTCTAGATTTCACATGAAAGAAAGGTCATGACGATTGTGGATCTCATGAGATGATATGCCCAGGCAAGATTTAGGGATTTGGAGTGATTCAGTGTTTTGATTGCTTCTTTTTTTTTTACCATTCTCAGGCTCTGGAGGCCAGGAATGACGCCTGTGAGGATGAGGAGGAAAAGAAGGTAAAACTTTGTTCTATAATTTCTTTACACAAACTTGGCTTCTTGAGACTTTCTTTAAAAGATTGTCAAATATCATGTGACAGCTATGTGTTCTACATTTTCTGTCTTCAAAGTGCTCTTCTAATCAAGTCTCCTTTTTTTTCTTTCATCAGAGACTGCAAAGCTTGGTGGATGTCTCAAATGTGAGTACAGTACATGTAGGTCCACACATGCTGCGTCTATGTGTGCCAATATGTCAGCATGTCTGCAGAATGTATATGTGCCTGCCCAAGCCCTGTAATGTATTGTGATAGATACACTGATACCAATAGCACTTCTAAGTCTCTTTTAAGATGACAGTCGTATTCATATACATGTATTTAAACTCGATCTGTATAATTTCAACTATCAACACACATAAACCATATACATGTAGCTACTGCGAACAGGTTAAACTTCACAATGCTAAGGTAGCCTTTTGGCACCAAATTAGTACTGGTTATGGGGTTAGTCAGCAGGGAGAAGGTTAACCTAACATGATTTCTGTTCCCAGGCCATGTTGGAGTCCATTAAACACAGCATAGTCCTCATGCAGGTGGCCAAGGTAAAAAAACTTACAGTTTTGTGTTTCCACCATTTTCCGACTAGAAATACCTATTACCCTGTTTACACATGTATGTGTAACAGAGGTTCAAGACTTCACCAATGATACTCCTTTGATTTCTGTCCTCGCAATTTGAGAAATCGCTGCTTTGTTTCCATCATGTACATGAATAAATCATTTGAAGGCATGTGCAAATCATTGGTAGGCAAATCAGCCAACTGTCAACTTACACTAGCTAGCCATGATTTCTGGGTGATCACTGAATTTCTGGACATAATTGTCTAGAGAAATGTCCTGATATCTACATACTCTACTGCTGATTCTTTTGGCTTTGTAGTTATTGAACTGCTATTCAGACTGATTTTTTCTGTGATTTCCAGCTTTTTCTAGCAATAATGCACTGCCTTAGCAGTGAAAAATCCACTCTTCTGATAATTTTTTTCTGATTCTGACGTTGCTGAAATGGTCTCAGTGATGATGTTGATTTTTATGCAAATTATGGTTCTGATTAATGATTTTTAATGATTCTGATCAATGATTTTTAATGGTTCTGATTTTGCTGAACCTGTTTTTTTATCCCCCCCACAGTACGCCTGTGTCGAACACATGGTACGGTCCGCTGCCATATATGGTATCGTGTGTGTAGAATCGGTGGTCGTGATTTTTTGTCGTGTCGTGTGATTTTTTTTTTACACAAACCAGAAACTTTACAAAGCTTTAATGTATCTGGGAGCCATCCTGGTTAGTTTTTTGTCTTCCTATAACTGAGTTGGCATCTTGATTCCAATTTCGAATGATTCCAATTTGTTTAGTTTAATCTAACAGGTACAGGTATGAACAATTCCCAATGTTTGCTGATAAAGAAAACACCTATTATTTGATAGATGCATGCGAACAATTTAGCAATCATTTCAATTCAACTGTGATAACTCAAAATAAGAGATCAGTAAAGCTCTAAAAACTCAAAACAAGAAATTGTCTAAAATGAGCTTGGATTTCATACAAGATGTGTATGAATTAATGGAATGAAATGATCATAATCCATTCAAAGTTGAAATCATAATGTACAAAACAAGGAATTTGCATGATACAAATTTTAAATGAAAATTGGTGAATGAGGGACCGTGAAGGGGTATTACCAAGAACTAACCAGAATGGCCTCCAGGCAGCCACACGCCACCTACACCACATACACACTCCTGGCCTGGTCCTGCAAGTTTGGGTCACAGACAAAATTGTTCAGATTCAATTTCTATAACTTTTTTCCTTTTTTTTAAATTGTGAGTTTCCATGATGAAGAAAAGTTGTATCATTGCCTGCAAAAAGTTGTGCCCCATGTACTGTATAAATATTTTCGTAAATCAAAATTAAACATTTTTTAAGAAGGTATTTTGATATTTTTGTGTAAATTTTCAAATTTAATTCAGATCATGCTCTCAAAGCTGTGAAAGAACACTTCACATTTGAGTTAAACACTATGCTTCTTTTTATTTTTTACACTGTTGTTGTTCTGATCTGTTTTCAATTCAGTTTTGTGTTTGGACTTTTTTTTCAGTTTTTTGTTTGGGCTTTTCTGTGCCTAGATTTCTACAGTACATCTAGTGCCGCTGCTTGTAGCTGATTGCTGTAGTTCTACCAGTTGGCATAGTATTTGAAGTTTCGCTCCTTGCAAAAAAGCAAACAAGCCATCGTCAGACCTCAAACTCATCTATTTTTTTCCTCATTGATGTAAAAGGACTCTGGAAGGCTGACAACAATGAATGGAGTCCCAGGAACAGAGGATATCACCAACACTGGAGGCGTAGGTAAGACATGTTACATTTTGTACTTGTACACTGTAACACAGTATCCAGCTTTGCTATTAAACTGAACAATGAGTACATAGCTTCAGTTAGGGGTGCCCTCTTGAATGGGACATAATATAATAAAGCCAGAGGTCCCATGTTTGAGCAAAGCCAGACCTCATACATGTTAAAAAGAGTACCTGTATCTGAGTGTATAGCTGGTATGACTGCCCTTCGGCGTAACACACCAGCTTCAGAGTAGGGATCCATCCTCAGGCTGGTGTGACTGAGTGATTGAAAAATCTTGCAGTCCGGTCTTACACAACTTCTACTTACTGTACTTGAGTGACATGTTATGCCTATAGAAAGACAGATTACTAGTCATGCAAAACAAACAAACAAGCAAGACTAACTTGACCCATGTTGTTTCTTGTTTCCAGATCAGCTGAGTAACTCTGGATCAGACAGTACGGCCAGCCTGGAGCAGGCTACTGAAGCTTTGGAGGAGGGAGGGGGGCAGATCACAGGTAAGGATGGTTCAGTAATCATGGAGGAGGGAGGGGGGCAGATGACAGGTAGGGATGGTTCACTAACTATGGAGGAGGGAGGGGGGCAGATGACAGGTAGGGATGGTTCAGTAATCATTGAGGAGGGAGGGGGGCAGATGACAGGTAGGGATGGTTCAGTAATCATTGAGGAGGGAGGAGGGCAGATGACAGGTAGGGATGGTTTAGGTACAACAGGCTTATCATATCCAGAATCATGCCTATCTAGTTGTATGCCTGAATTGGTTAGGGTCAGGTCAGGATCAGGCACGGTTCTGGATAGTCTCTATCATATCCAGAACTGACACATGAAGACAATGTTGCTATGCTATGGTTTCATGCAAAACTGTTCTTTTTGCTATAATTTTGCCCTTGGAAGTTTTCACAACAATCCTATCAAACTCTCCATGTAGAAGGGACCATTGAGGCTTTGAGTTTGTTACTTGGTACTAAACAATTACTATATAGAAACCATCAACAAGCAGCCCAAATTCTAACTTCAGACCTCTGAAATAGGCAGAGTTTTCACGTCACATCCGCAAAGAATGTTTCAAAAGTTCATACTCATGTCTCTGTGATTCTCTCTCTATCTCTCTCTACCCTTCGCCGTCCCCTGTGGTGCCTGTGCCAGACTATGGGCAGGGTTTGGAAGGCCTGCAGGTGGAGGCTGGCACCCAGACTAACGGGAATAATGCACCTGTCTGTAAGTTAGGCTGCACAAAACCACTCCTCCTCGGTTCTCGCTTTCAGGCTTTCACAAATTCTTTGATTTGCAAATACACACGAGATGTACGGAATGTATTGACTACAGTACCGTTCGCGTTATAGTTAACCGGGTATCCCGTTACTAACGAGTTATTTTTTCGTCAGAAAATGGTTAGAAAATCGTCAGTATTTGGTTAGATTTTCGTCAGAAAATGGTTAGAAAATCGTCAGAAATTATTTCTAACGCGTTACCGTTTGCGTTAATGTGATAGGGTCGGATTTCATGTTTGTTTTGCGCGCCGACAAGACAATAGCAATTTGCCACCTCCTGGGGCGTCCGCTAATGTGTTGCGATGTTGCCCCTTGAAAAATAACAGCACCAGAGGCAAGTGGACATGTGATTCGTAAAATAACTTTGTGGTTTATCCATGTGTCGACTGTGTGAAGCGAATTGTGCTATCTTTTAATGCTATTCTATAGTTATTTCTAGCGGAAAATTACGTTGTGTAATACAATGTATGTCAACAAAGTGTAGCAGTGGGCAGACGATGTCTTGTACATTTTGTACCAGCGGCGGACTACCGCTCTCACAGGACGTCATGGGACGTGACGAAACAAGAAATATCTGCCGTAGAAGAAATATAAATCGGTAACTCATGCCTTAAATTCACGGCGGTTTTTGACACAAAAGAAAATTATTATAATTTTTGTAAGGCGCGCGGCTTACTAGTACTAGCGGCTTTAATACTCACGGTAAAATGTACCGTCACTCCCGGCGCAAGGACTCGGTTCGCCAGCTGAGGACTTTCCACAACCATGATGATATCATAGGTAATAAAGGAATATATAATAGATCTATCATGTGGAAATGATAATTGTAATACATGGTTCTATTTAATAGCGGTAGTTTCGTTTCTTATTTTGAGGGGGGAAACTGTCAAAAATCGAGGGAACGCAAACTGAGATCGGCTCACTTCCGGGTGCATAACGCCAAAATTTCTCGACGATTATATAAAAATGACCACTCATTTGCCGCCTACGGTAGCGTGTACATGGTAGTGCGATCATATCGTGCCAAAGTCAGCGTCAAACGTCAGAAAATCCCCGTAAAAATATAGTTGCAAAACACATTTCCCGCGCACTCAGGGCCGGTCGCCCTGGCCGCTGCAGCATGCTCATTATAATATGCAAGTAGCTACGCTCTGATTGGTTCACCTTAGATGACCTGCGCTGTGATTGGCTAGAACGAAGCCCGTTGCATGCTGGGGCGCCCTTCCCCGCGCGAAATGATCTCGAGAGAGCCACATTTACGCTGGTTTCTACCTTATTTCTACGACTAATTAGCAACATCCTAGTGACGAAATGCGTACTCAAAAGAATTTTCGGGAAAAAAATATATGTACATGTGGATTTGTGGTGCCTTTGGCGTAATTTTGTTGGTCACATACAACGTAATGTAACACGGAAGTGCATGGAGTCGGAGTGGCGGCACGGCTTTCCGTCCCACTCTAAACAAAACTCCAAGGACATAACAAAACTCCCCAAAACTGGTCAATAATTAGCCATAAAAATGTTGGTGGGCACGTGTAAATATGCTGCCTTTTTTCGAGTGTTATAGGAATTTTCCACGATGTTTTTGCACATCCCTAACGTTACCTCACGCCCGCCGCCTATTATGTACGGCGGACCGGGGCATTTATAACTTCAGATCATCTACATTGTAGGTTTGCTTATTCGGTGGTAAAATAAGTTAACAGAGAAAAACAGCAAACCAAAGTTGACAAACTATAGAAACGCTTGCCTGGGCAACAGTGACAAAAGAAAATGTCTATCTAATTGAATTGCGCCGGTGATCGTAAAACGTTTTAAACGTTACAATATAGTAAAATGCAGGCTAGATCAACGTTCCTTCCGCTGTTCCAGCGGTGTGTATCGGTAATTTCCCGCCCCGCATGAGGTAAATTAGTACTCCTCCCATTATTCTGTGATGTTACCGCGGCCTGCATATGAATGCAGAAGTCTAACGGAAAAGTAACGGAAAAGTAACGGAAAACTTACGCGAAAGTTACGGAAAACTTACGGAAAAGTAACGGAAAAGTAACGGAAAAAAAACGCGTTAGTAACGGCCGTTAGGGTAACTATAACGCGAACGGTACTGTACATGTAACAGCAGCTATATTGTTTTATATTGAATGCAAGCTGTATTGTCAGGAGTCACTGGTACAGGTTCAATGTGTCATACAGACATTGTGTAGCTCAACATAATCAGTCATTTAATATATCAATCAGTGACTGTTTTGAAAGGTAGCAAACACGTACCCCCCACTCACCCTACTCTGCAAGGAGGCAGGAGGCCAGAAGAGCTTCACAAGTCTTAACCTAGTCTTGTGTTCTTGTGAGACTAGGACACTCTGTGATCAAGGTGTACAGTGGACTTTGCAGATTTGGAGTTACGTGTTTGCTACCTTTCAAACCAATCATTGATTGATGAATGTTCTACTGATGGTTGTATTACGCCTCCAGTGCTGCCAGTAGACACCAGCACCCAGACCAGCAGCCACCCCACAACTCCTATCAACGGTCCTGCCGTCACACTGGCTCTCCAAGTTCCTGTCCTGCCACAGACATCCTATTCTAGCAGCGAGGATGAGGACTTCTTTGATGCAGACGAGTTCTACCAGGCTTCTCCAGAAAAATCTCCCAGGTAGGAGGCACTGTTCTAGCTAGTAACAGAGGGAAACCTTTCCCGGAGAAGTCTCCTAGATAGGAGAGCTCCCCAAGCTCTATTCTAATGCACTGTTCCTTAGCACTGCTCCTTGCTCCTTGAATTTGATTTGTCTGTTAAGAATAAGGTTGTACCAGAGGGAAAAGTTTCAGTATGCTTCACAATGCTAAAAGTATCAAGCCTTCAGTGTACTACCATGCACTACAGATACTCTGTCTCCTATTTAACAGAGTGAATGGAATGGTCCACTATAAACAAACAACAACCTGTCTGACAACAATGCCAGCATGTGACACATTGCCTGAGACTAGAATAGAACAAGTTTCCATGTGTTAAACATGGTGTACTTACATTGTAAACTGAGTGTGTAAAATGTTTATTAAAGATGATAACTGGGTATTGCATCCCCCTTTCTGTATGTGAGCAATGGTGTACTCCATTACCAACAAACAGCAACTTACTTTTAGGAAAGAGCAACAAAGTAGAAAGCAAAAAGGCAAAAAAACTGTGTAAAATGATGGTTATTTAAAACAGTGTAAAACTGCATTGAAAAGTACATGTACCAAAAGTACATATACTATCAATAGTAATGCTAGATAGTTAGTTTGCGTGTTTCACAATGGTATCATCCACTATAAACAAACAATAACTAGTCTGACAACAGTTCCAACTAACTCCTAGCCATGCGTTTAACATGTGCTAAAAACTGTGTAATGATGGTTAACTTGGGTAGAGCTTTGTAAAACTGCAGTTAAAAGTACATTACACCATTAATAGTAATGCTATATATAATAGCTAGTTTCTGTGTTTCACAATGGTACCGTCCACTATAAACACACAACAGACAATAACCAGTTTGACAACAATACATGACACATCGCCTTAGGCTACAACACACTCCTAGCCATGTGTCACATGGTCCAACTTCTGTATGCATCACTACACAAGGGTCCCTTGGGGGTTACCACAACTCTCTAACTACTGTCTAACTACCCCATTCATACCTTTCTACATTTTTACTATATGGTAGACATGTAGTGAGTTAATAAATTAGATTGGAACAGGAAAATTTCAGTCAAATTTGAAAAGGAAAGTTGTTTTTGGCTTTGAGGAGAAGAGTTTCAGTTTACCACATTTGTAGCCACCTCTGTGACGTGTTAAGGGTGTGACGTTTTTAGTAACAGATGTGTGAAACAAGATGTCTCTACCTGTACCGGCGTCGCTCTCTCTATTTTACGAAGATTTACCACATTTGTGGAAGGATTGGTGACATTATAACAAGTGACTATATCACCTTTTCAAGATGTCAACCCTGAGACCAGACTGTAAGGTTTGAGCCACTCACACCGGGAAGGTCCCCTACTCTTTTTGATAAGTGTGTACGTATATATGTGACTCTACTTAAACACAGGACCTCTGGACGTCCCTAACTGAAGATAGGTACTCATTTACACCTGAGTCAAGTGAGGAAATAGGTGTAAAGTGTCTTCCAAGGACACAAGATCGGCGGCATCGGGCAGGATTTGAACCCTCAACCTCTTGAGTCTGAGTCAAGTCAGGAAATAGGTGTAAAGTGCCTTTCCCAAGGACACAACAAAGGAACCTGCCAGGGATTTGAACCCAGAACCTTCAGAATCTAAGTCAACAACTCTGACCACCTATTGTTGCTCTCTCTGTTTCTCACAGCCGATTGCCAAATAGCTTCCAAGACTCCTTGAGTCACGATGATGCGGTGAAGAAACTTGACCAAGACTTGCAGGAGGAGGAGAAGGAGAATATACCTGAAGTGTCGGTGACAGGGGCTACACCTGGCAAGGAAAACCCAGGTGAGAATGTCTTCTATGTTACACTATGGTATTGCAGTTATTTATTTATTTACCAGTTTGGCTGTTCAACCTTCACAGCTAGGGCAGCCCAACTAGCCTGTGACTATTACAAAGGGCTTGCCCTGCTGACAAAACATTACAGCAACATATAAGGTGGCTTAGCAATCTACATTGGTTATGAACACTGTATTGCATGATAATTGTACCAGGTACAATGTATGACATTTACTGCTATTAAACAACAAACATACTACAAGACTTGCTTACCTTTTCAAAAGACTACTGGTATCAGTGGTCGAAATACTTTTTTCAGTGCTCTGCAATGTTGCAGAAGAGTCAAAATTTTGTTCTGCAATTTTGAAATACTTTCTGCAAATACACACTTAAAAGTCCGGATCTAAACCCATGGCATATACGAGGAGAATCCAGGTGAGATACTAGTAGCTTCTATGACTTGTAGATGTCACACTATGGTATTGTAGTAAATGGTTACTGTATGTAAACTTGACATGACAATTGTACAGTTCTATGTGTAACATCTAGCATAGTACACTGCCACTCTCATCAATAAACATACATGTACTATTAGACAAGCTTACACAAAAGATACATGTATGTAGTATGGGGTAGTCATGTTATGATTACAAAGCAGAACTTAAATCCTCTATCATACCAAAGGTTCTATGCTCTATAGTTAACCTAAACATAACAGTTTCTATAAAGGCACAACACAACAGAGATACAGTGCATGCATTGTGTCAATAAATTCCTGTGTCCAAATACTGATTGTTCTCCAGATTTTGGCACTTCTTTCTTCTTTTGTCCAAAGAGGTTACAACCTCTTTGCTTTACTACAAGTCTCTGATAACTGAAATATAATAAGGAAATTAGTAAAATATTCCCTCTAGTTATCATGTTTGCAGACCAACAGACATTGTTGAAACCATATCCTCTGATGCCATGAAGTATTGATTGAATGAGCAAAGTTTGTTTTGAAAAGGTTGACGTGTCAGCAGCTGTGAAACTCTTTCCCAGAACTCTTTCAAATCTCCAGGGATTTACCCTGCCTTATATAAACTTAATTGCACAACAATGGCACAAGGTACAACATATGGTATCTACAGGAACAGTGTATTTGTTTTAAAAAGATAACAGTGTTCTTTAAAATAATTTCAATTTAAAAAACTTCTCATATTCAACATCTATTATAGTATTAAGAGGGATTTGATTATTTTTGATATCGCTATACTTACTGCTTGAAAATGCAGTTTACTTAAGGTATTCTATGGCAAACTAAATTTAGTGACATATTAGATTAGTGGCATATAAGATTGTCAGTGTGTGGTAAATAATTATACTTAACCCTCTGAGTTATACATGTATGTTATGTATGTACTAGTCAAAGATATCCTGTATTTATTTTATATACAGTAGAGTAGAATGGGGAAGTGTACCTAGTTTAGCTTGTTCTGCTTTCAAATTGTTAATTGTGACAGTATTCTATCAGTGTCCTTTCAACAGTTACAGATGTATGCAAATGAAATCATTGACCTATAAAACTATTCATGAAAATGGAGCACACACACAATTAACATTAAGAACAGTAACTGTTACTGCATTGCTGTTTAAATATGACATGAAACCTAGGACAATGAAATATAACTCTTACAGTTCCTGATGAAATTATAGTACACATGATAGCCATTACTCAATGAACAAATATGTTTGCTCAAAATATAGTATACGCACTATTCTGATATGAAAGGGAACATCGAGTCTTACACATCATTCTTCCAGTAACTGTTCTTTATGTCTACAGCCAATTAATTATGATCAATTAAACACTGTCAATGACGTCACTGTTAGCATGGCAGCTGCCTCAGAAACTGACACCAGGGCTCGTGAATAATGTTCTTTTGACAAGGAAACAATTCATGATTATTTTGACAGCATACAATGACAAATTATTAATGTCTGCTTTTGTTTGCATCTTAAAAGAACCTTGATGTCTATCTTGCCATGACACATCAGGGCTTGAAATACCTTTTTCTGCATACCTGCACTGGTAGAGGTAAAATTACTTGCACCTCTCAGAATTTAGGAAGAATGAATCACACTGAAAACTATTCAGAAACCTTTATTTCTAAGCTTCAAGGCTGAAAATACTGGGTGCATTTGCACCTTAGTTTACCCAAATTTGGAGCTGTGCACCCTTTGTTTTCTGCGTGTGCAAGTATTTTAATTTGTACTTAGGTTTACGTATGTTAGGATGTTAGAATCGATGTATAGTAGTATACAGCATATTCTGCATGTATACTGACTTCTTGCTTGTTCCTCATAGATGTGACAAAGCTTCTGACTGGAGTACTGCTGCTTGTAGCTATACGTAGCCATGTGCCACCTACATCGGCTACATATAGCGTCAAGAAGCAGCACTCCAGTCAGAAGCTCTGAGGAAGGTGTCTGATAGATATCGAAACATTAGCCTGGGTGCCATCTGATTTGTAACTGAAAAAAAATCTGGGATGGCACTTAGGCTATGAAACAAGAAAGCAACGTAGGTAGAATACCTGATTGTATCTAAGAAAACTCCAATATCCTAATGAGTATGTACATGTATATTAACTGCTTGCTTGTCTGCCTTCAGATGTGATGATGCGAGGTGGGATCTGTATTGTGACTGACTCCAGTGGTGGAGAGGAGGAGGCTACAGAGAACATGGAGAACCACCAGTCAGTTATCACCCACCTTCTGTCCCAGGTTAAACTGGGGATGGACCTTACCAAGGTGGGCTTTATACATTTATTAATAGCTATAGTCATCCTTCTTAGTTTTAAATGCCTCTAGGACTATGAGGCACAGATAGAATACGTAATTTTTTTCTCTGTCTCTCTCCCCCTCTCTATCCGGTTTAATGTCTGTTGTTCCCCGTAACCAAGGGATAGACGTGCTTGCACTCTGATGCTGGGGTATGATCTATTTATTAGTAGCTTGCCATTTGCCTCTGTCCTGTGGTTCTTGGGCACAGCAGATGTACATTTTACATGGTACATAACTATGTTTTTTCAGACTGATGAGAAAGTGAATCACTGTATTTTGTTCTTACTAGATAATAGAAAAAAGTGCTGCCATGCAAGGATTTGATAAAATGGAAATCTCTGAGCTGTAGTTTTGTTGTTCTCTGTAGGTTGTTCTTCCGACTTTCATCCTGGAGAAGCGTTCCCTGTTGGAGATGTACGCAGACTTCTTCGCACATCCAGACCTCTTCTCCAGGTAAGAAGGAGAGAGAGAAAGAGAGATAAAGAGAGATTGTTTTTTCTATGAGTTATGATGATGTTGATGATAAAAATGTGCTTATTTTGTGTTGATTTTAGATAACTGTTTATTGTGTGTTGTGCTTTTAAAACATTGTCTACTTTTCCTTAACATGCCAATAGGATACAAAGTTGTTGAGCATTTTTTTTAGCTTTTTTAGCATGGATTTCCAAACGTGTTGGGGGTAATCAGCATCTGAAAGAGGGAGAACTTAGCAAGAATTTGGCCTATATTTTAGCCCAACAGCTGCCTTTCATTGAGTCATTCATTCATTCAGTCAGTCAGTCATTCAGTCAGTTATTCAATCATTCATTCAAGTAAACAAAAGTGAGCAATCTGGAAGTTGCTTAAGAATTGGATTTTATTTTGTCACCACTACTTCATGATCCCATGTTGTCCTTCTAGTATCCCAGATTTTGAGGACCCCAAGGACCGTATGATCCAGGTGATTCGCTGGTACCTGTCTGCCTTCCACGCCGGAAGGAAGGGCTCGGTGGCCAAGAAACCGTACAACCCCATCTTAGGGGAAACTCTCAGGTGCTTCTGGGACCTCGGAACTGATAACCTAGATGGGGAACAGGTAATATAGCTATTGTTTGAATATGTAGTGGTTTATCAGTGTTCACATGTCAAGCATTGAATAGTTTGTAATAGGCATCCTTCTAGCAAGATTAAATCACTTTACAGCACCCAAACATCCACCCTGATAAAGCCACAGACAGTAGAGATTGGTGTTAAACAGACTAGCATTCTTCCATCTGGAAAGATGATAGTAGCACTCTAGGTAGTGTTGTAGTCAAACCCCTTCTGCAATGGTAAACAGTCCTTAAAACTGGTCTGTCAATTAGGATAAAAAATTCTTGATTATGTAGCAACCAAATAAATCACAAAAATACAGTTCATTTCATAACTGATTCAGTTGAACAAACAATCTACCGGTTGTACATTTAGAATGGTTCAAAGCTGAAACCTGTATTGTATTAGTATACATGGCTATAGGAACGTACTGTATCCTTACAGTTTAGGGAAAAACATAGTCATTAAAATACTTATATTTTGATGTTGTTCTTTAGGAACTGGTGACAGATGGTCCCATCCCGTGGGCTACCAGAGACAACGTGACGTTTATAGCTGAACAAGTCTCGCATCATCCTCCCAGTAGGTTTATCTCTCATTCTTTCATTCATTCACTCACACATTCATTCTCAGATACACACTGACACTCCCATATACTCAATGCATTCACACATTCATTCATTCATTCATTCACACATGCATGCACTCACACACACACACACACAAACATACACAAACACACACGTGTATGCACACCCACTATTTGCACACCAAACCAACGAACCAAAGAACTATGTATTGAATTCTTCTAAGGCCACTAAATAGTATCAGTAGGTGTATTTATACCAGACTATTGATTAACTTTAAGTATCAATTAATTACATTTTGTTAGGAATTAAGATTAGGTTTTGTGATTTGTTGTTTTGTCAATTAAAATGCTTTGTTTTTTTCTTGCAGTTTCTGCATTCTATGCTGAACACTACAACAAGAATATCTCCTTCAATGCCCACATCTGGACCAAGTCAAAGTTCCTGGGCCTGTCTATAGGAGTGCACAACATTGGGCAAGGTAAGGATATGGTTTGGGGCAACACTACATACATGTAGTTTACTACATGTAGTATCTGTATCTGTATCTGTATAGCCGGTATAACTGCCCTTTGGCATAACACACCAACTTTGCAGGCAAACAGAGCGGTGGCAGCTGGCTATATCACACCGAACAACCTGATACACCCAATCTTTGCACATTTATTGGAAGTGATGTTTAAAGCTTTCTAGTGAATGATGCCTCAACTATCCCCCAAAAATTTTGAGGACAATAAAAATTTGGATACAGTAAGACTTAGTAATGTTATAATGACCAATACAAATAACATGATAACAAGATTATCATTAGATTTTGATTTTTTATTAATTTACTGCTTTCTTTTCCCTACAGGTTGCGTTTGGGTCCGCAAGTATGATGAAGAGTACATTGTCACATTTCCTAATGGCTATGGAAGGTAAAAAAACTTTTCTAGCATCTGACTTGCTCTTTCTTCTTGCTGTGGATGAGGAAGACTTTAAAAAATACTACTATTAGATATCTTCTGAAATGAGGTTCTTCAATGTACATCTAAACTCTGGAAACATGTTAGAGCTGTCCATATTTACAATGTATATTGTTGTAGCTCACTGAAGAGCTACTCTTCCACTGGTTGTGACAGAGAAGACAGACACTATTTACAGTATTTACATGTTCATTGTACTGGGGAAACTCCCCTAGCTCTTTTCTACATAATTATATGCAAGCACAATGAACAGTGGACCATGGCCTAACGTCCTGTCCTAAGAACTGTGACCCTTTTCAGTAGTATGCATGTGGGGTGAGCCGGGATTCAAACCCCCAACCTTTTGGTCCAGAGGTTGGGTTGCCAACCATTGGACTAGGCTGGTAGAACATCATATCACCAACCTGGCCACACATTGAAGTAAAACTGCTGTGTTGTTTTTCCCCAGGTCTATCCTGACCATCCCGTGGATGGAGTTGGGAGGAAAAGTCACCATCACGTGTGCCAAGTCAGGCTACAGCTGTAACATAGACTTCCTAACAAAGCCTTTCTACGGAGGGTCTAAACACAAAATCAAGGCAGACGTCATGTAAGTACACAACTCTATAATATATACATATCACAGCTGTAACATAGACTTCCTCACCAAACCTTTCTACGGAGGGTCCAAACACAAGATAAAGGCAGAAGTCATGTAAGTACACAACTCTCTATATACATGTCAGAGCTGGAAATAGGGTTATTGGAGTTTCTTTTGATAACACACTCGTATATAGTATATCTCTGTATATCAGAAAAGTAATGTAACCCTTTTTTTGAGCCCATAGTTCTGTTTGCTGACATTCTACTTTTTCACACAAAAAATTTGAAAAGATACCGTGAAATTGCCTTTAGTTTAAGCTATAGAATTTCAAAGTCAAGTCCTAAAGAAAGGTAGTAAGGCTTGTGGTTACGTTTTGCTGACATTTCACTTTTCTCCACCAGGGGCCCGAGTGAGAAGAAGCCGTTCTGTGTGATAGAAGGGGAGTGGAACGGAGTCATGTACGCCAAGTGGGCAACTGGACAGGTACTTTGTGTATATTTTCTTATCAATCTGGACTTGAAGACGACATGAAACCAATGACAATGAAATAACAATTCATGGAAATAGTCAATAGGCATTGATAGGCATTACTCAAGGAACAAAGACGTTTGTACAAAAAATTTTGAACATCAAATCATCCTTCCAGTTCTTGATTCAGTAATGCCATTAAGGTAAGCATGGCAGCTGGTTTAGAAACAATGGTGCGACAACTTGTGAAAAATGTTTTTTTGGTAAACAAACATTGATGAGTCCAATTCTTGTCCTTGAGATCGCAGTTCAAACCAGTTTCATAATGACTTCTACCATCACAGATAAACTTCGAAGCTAATTATCTACTTCTGTTTTTCAGGAGGAGGTTTTTGTGGACACGAAGAAGATGAAGATCATGAGGAAGAAGGTACAGAAACTGGAGGATCAGGGAGAGTATGAGTCCAGGAAGTATGTCATCATCTTTACTTTATCTTCCTTTATCCTTCCGCTTATGCCTGGTGCGGCGTTGCAGGGAGATGTAGTTATACCTTGAGAATACCTTGAGAAACCCTCAGAGTAGAAGGCTGTCAGCCTGTAGTCACACTCTCCTTACTCTAGGTATTTTCTCTTGCTCCCACAGTCGTCTAGTCTCGTCTTAAAACTGTTAACTCTTTCAGCCCTCACAACTGTACTGGGTAAGGAGTTCCAAGGTTGGACAGTCCTTACTGCAAAGGACTGGTGTCTCAGTGTTGTTTTGGCAATCGGCACCTTTAGCTTCAAACTACAGTGTATGCCCTCTGGTTTTCTCACACTGCCTGGTTTGAAAGAAATTTGTTGAAGTTCCACTGCCAGGTGTGTGGCCTCCCGGGGTGTCATGCCGTGTGCACTGAGGGTCTCCGCTACTCCGTCTATCCATCGGCAGTGCGGACTCCCTCCAGCCCTTACTCCTGAGTGCCTGGCAGTGTAGGCCCTTAGGGCTGGTTGGGTGGTCGGCATTCTCATAACATCAATGTTGTTGTCATGAATCTTTTATCTAAGAGTTGAAGAAACAAGAATCTTGATCCGGCTTTAGCTTACTGAAGAGCTAATCTTCCACTGTTCGTGACAGAGAAGACAGACGCTAGGTACAGTATTTTCAATAAGTTGTACAATGAGCCTTAGCTTAATATCACATTATAGGCACCAATGCCCTTGACAGTTATGAACATGCTGGGTGCACAGCAACAGTCGTGGGATTCAAACTCTCAACCTCTTGGTCCAGAGGCCAACCCATAACGTGCAAAAAGTGTAGGGAAGTAAACTAGAATTACCTCATCAACATTAAGTACTTTAGTGTACATCTTTTGGAAGTAAGCTGTCAATAAGGTTAGAATAAGATGAGTCCTAATATCTAAGACAGTGATCCTGTCAAGAAAAGTTCAAGGGAAAACATTAATGTATGTTTCTTTATTCTTCTTTTTCTGTAGACTCTGGAAGAGAGTGACGGATTCCCTCAGCAGCAGGAACATTGACCAGGCCACGGAGGCAAAACAGTTTCTGGAAGAAAGGCAGAGAAGAGAGGCCAGGGAGAGGAAAGAAGCCGGGGTCAAATGGGAGACCAAGGTATGGTACTCTGAACCTTAAACCTTGAACTTGTAACCCCTTGAAATGATAACTCAGTATGTCGATGAAGGTTAGACATCCAGGTAATGATATACACAAGAAATCAGTTACTCAAGGAGTCAGAGCAACTTTTCATAATCTATCCAGTTGCTTGAGTAACAGTTTTCTTGTGTATAACTTAAAGTTAGTATTCTAGTTTGGTATGAACGAAACTTAAGATGTCATTATTGGCTTACAGGTACATATACAAATACATTGATTTTTTTTCACACACATACAGTCATGAATGTGCACAAAAAACACTTACAATGCACCTTAAAGAAATTTGAAGCTGTACTTACATAGTTTTTTTTAAAGAAGAAATGGCAGCTGAAAATGCTTCTTTTGTTTGCAGCTTTTCCATGAGGATGGTGAACAGTGGATCTACGACAACCCCTTGCAGAAACGACTGGAACTGCAGGAAAAGATGCAATAGTGCGGAAAACACAAGACAATCAACCATTTAGTGCTGAAGGCAGAAAGCTATGATTTCTACAGTCAGTTCCCTGCTATATTAGCCTATATTTCTGAGGTTGAATGACAGTTTATTTCCACAAGGGTCTCTGAAAAACTTCCATGAGCAAGCTATCAAAGCAGATGCATGATGCCACTTCAAATAAGTGCATCCTTGTTCTGATTTTGATCTTGCTTGTTGTATGGGAGTGTCAGAAAGAATAAGAATTCTGAGCTTGTACAGAGAAAATTTATAAGATTATAATTATTGTGACACTGGTCAGTGTATTTAGAATCTGTAACTGTTGTTATTTAGGTGGTGTAATGTGATTGGTCCATTTCCACCACATTCTGGTAATTTGGAGATAGATGGTGCTATGTGATTGGTCCATTTCCACCACATTCTGGTAATTTGGAGATAGATGGTGCTATGTGATTGGTCCATTTCCACCACATTCTGGTAATTTTGCAAATGGGGTAATGTGATTGGTTCATAATTAGCCAACAATGAAATACAATATAATGGTGCCATGTGATTCGTCAATTTTCAAATCCTTATATTTATAGCTCTGCCATTGGCTGATTCAAAACTTTGAAATGTTGGTGACTGAACGATTGGCCAGATTTTCACCAATAACAGGTTACAAAGCCACAATAGTTTTCCTGGACATCACAACAGTTTCCCCATCCCTTTTTCCTCGACATTCCGATTTCGATCATTTTAATACCGAAAATTAAGTTGTTGCTATGAGGAATATCATATATTGTACTTTTTAAGGCTTTAAAAAAATTACAAAGGGAATACATGTAATTTAAGACCATAATTGTGTCATTAGAATTCTATCAAAGTATATACTTAAAACTTTGTATCAGTTATTATTGTTTTCTTACGATTCAATACGGTCTTGCTACTATGGTCTATGGACTTTGGTCTTGCCACCAAATGGTCTGCTTGGAGGTTATATCTCCGTCAAAATTAAGTAGGTACACCATATCAGCATATGTGTCTGAATTCTCATGACATTTACATGAAATAAGCACAAAGCATTACAGTACGTCTTCCACATTGTAATTTATGATTATTGAACCACACTTGAGAAAAATGCATATTAATAGGCCAAAAATTTTGATGTTAAAAATCTCATATATATGTGTTAGAGTGCTATGAAGAGCCAAGCATTTAGGCCACATACATTTGTACATGTATGTCTGAACAAAGTTTACCTTCGGCCTGCTACATATAAGTTAGCCATTTGGCACCAAATGTGTATTGGTTTGGGGTTAGGCAACAGGGAGATGGTTAAAAACACAGATGGTTATACCTTATGTCCATTTTAAAACTTCCACTGGTGCAATTTATGATTAACTGAGCGGAATTAAGTAGAAATGTAATGTGTAAAGTGTCATGGACAGTAAAATATTGATGTCGTACATCTATATACACAGCTCTGAACAAAAACAGAGTGTCATGTACACATAGTTGTCTGCCATTCTATTGTTAGGGCCATTGCTGATTTTCTAGGACACTGTATTACTCGATTTTGAAGGAAATGTTTAAATAAGTAAAATTTATGATTATGTATTTGTAGTCAAACTAATTGTATTACTGTATTGAATATCAATTAGGAACTTTTCAATACAAGGCTTATTCTGTAAAGTTGTTGTCTGAGAGTTTTTCTCCTATCGTTTAAAATGTAGTGCCTTCAATAAAACATACCAATTCGATTTTAAACTATGGAAAACTCTTTCTAAAGACCCATTTGCTGTTACAAGAGTGGGGAGAAACGACCGTTTACAAATGCATTGGGCTATCTGACACGGTCTCAATTTAGCGCCGCCCAGTGCCGAGTTAAGGTACTGCAGCTATTGGCCTCGTCACAATCCGACTGGACTGCATCTGGCCGTGATACGGTCTTAATTTAGCGCCGCCCGGTGGCTGGATAAGGTACTGCAGCCACTACCCTACATCTCCCGCCGGGCCGCTCCTGATATCTGCCACCACAAGCAGTATGCATATGACCGTCCGGCGAACATAACTTGTACTATTTGGGTAATCAGGATTAAAAGACATTGTCACGGTCTCAATTTAGCGCCGCCCAGTGATGAGTTTCAGTACTGCAGCGGCTGAAACCTGCCGTCACCAGCTGTATGCATTTAATCGTCCGGCGATCATAACTTGTACTATTTGGGTAAGCAGGTTGTAAAACTACGTTGCAATCACGTACGTAACGCACTTGACGCAGAGACGGTCTTAATTTAGCGCCGCCCAGTGACGGGTTTCAGCACTACAGTCACCGACATCTACCGTCAAAATTAACACGCACCTAACCGTCAGGCGGACATAACTTGTACTATTTGGGTAATCAATAGATAAAATAAGACGACCGACTGTTAACCTCTGACCTGTTTACTACAAAATACGTAGCCAGGAAAACCTCTCGACTTCTCATTTCCAAAGCCTCAGCCTTCCTTCACAACTGCGCATATGTTACCCTAGCTGGTTATGCAACAAGTTATCGTATTGTGACATTTTCTTTGTTTGGAGGAAAATAAACTTAAGTTTCTGACGATGTATTGAAGGCAGAAGTCGTAGTTTAGTTTCGCTGGCTGGTGGTATGCAGGTCAAAGGTTAACAATCGGTCGTCTTTATTATCTCCTGATTATCCAAATAGTACAAGTTATGTTCGCCGGACGGTCAAGTGCATACTGCTTGTGATGGCAGATATCAGTGACTGCACTACCGAAACACGTCACTGGGCGGCGCTAAATTAAGACCGTGTGAGCGTTGGCCGTGACAATGTCTTTTAATCCTGATTACCCAAATAGTACAAGTTATGTCCGCCTAACGGTTAAGTGCGTGTTGATTTTAGCCTTCATAACATGAGATGTCATGGACTGCAGTACCAAAAGCACGTCACTGGGCGGCGCTAAATTAAGACCGTGTCACGGTCATATGTGTAGCTTATGTATCTGGAGGCCAGGAAGCTGCAGTGCCTTCACGTGTTGTTAAATATAGGCGACGCTTTAAGACGTTAGGTCAAAGGTCAGGAAGTTTCGCCAGGTGAGACGGCGGCATGTTTGATGGTGTTGCCATGGAGTTCCGGACGGATTTTACTAAATTTAGATGCCTTGCTGCGGAAGGGAGTAGGCTCAGGTACAATGTGGGGTAGGTGTAAATGATTTGTTCCGTTTCTGTAGATTGTGGACAGTTTCTTTATTAATTTCCCTGTTGGTGACTGAATATATGACCGGTGATGCCTTGTTGTTGTTGTTGTTGTTGTGTACTCCTCAATAACACGTTGAGCCATTTCCACTCCCCAACTGATAACTTTTTTCTTGGTGGACTAAGTGAACGTGTCTATCTTAATTCTCTGTCGTGATTGTGAACTTTACGTCACAATTGCCCTTGTGTCGGTATTGTATTGTTATTAAATCTATTCCACTACACTCCCGGCCTGTTTCTGTAGTGCCGATTGCCGAGCTTGTCCGGGCGATAAACCGTGGCCAGATCTGACATATTTCTCCGGCTGGGGGACTGATGCAGAGGTTCAAGGCAACTGCGGACATGCTGATGTTGTAAAATGTTAAAAATGCAGGTAAACACTTTGAAATCATATATCGATTCTGTGACGAATGGGAGTGTTGTAAAACTGCCATGGCTACCCTGTCTAGCAATCAGCCTAAGTATAATCACCTGTGTTAAAGATGTACATCAACATAATGTACCCAAACAGCCGTTTTGGTGTCCGGACCACGAGCGAAAGATGCGTTCTATGGAAGTGGTGTTACGCCTAAGGATAGTGGAGTGTTTGTATTACTTAAACGTTGACCATTGTACATATGGTCAAACCCGAATTAAAATCGGGTCAAACCGTCACAGCAATGTGACGATGTGCAATGTAAACTAAAGAAAGTTACACATGCCTACAGTAAACTCACAGTCAACAAATGATATCTGAAACTTTATCCAAGCTCTCTTGGCTGATTTAAAAATGTTGCCAAAGTTGATGAAATGCATATATATATATGTGTGTGCTATCTATGTTATATATGTTGTTGCAATTCTTACAATCGAATTTCCGAAACTATCGGTATACAGCAATTAATGTGATGATTATAAATGCACAGATAGATAAAATGAAAGTAAGAATAAGATTCTGTTGATGTATCATATTTTGTCTTCTATTCTTGTCCATCTTTTATGCTTCATAATAAAGAATGCTTTCCCATGATCTGCGCCTCTGTTCTTGCTTCTGCTTAACAATTCAACAATTAATATATGCAGGTTAATTACACTCACCTGCACAGGTGTATATGAACATAATTTATCCAACTTAAGTCCCACGAACGAGAGATATCTCCTATGGAAGTAGTGTAAAGATTTGCCGGGGTGTAGGCGGGGTTTGGGGTATAAGAGGCCGAAACAATATTAAACACGGTATTGAGGGGAGGGCTAGAGGATTCAGGGAAATTGTGGGGTAAAATGAACTTATAAATGAAGATTTTGCTTGATTTTTGTTATAACTCTGATATAATGTGACATCGTGTTACGTGGCGTCATGCGGCACAGTCTGGTGCGGCCAGACCGGCCTTAAGGGCACCGCGAAGGGCCCTAGTTTTCTGAGACACTAGCTTCCCAGACAGAGAAGTAGTGATCTCCTAAGCCATAGGACAGCTCAGCTCAGCCGTCCAAGGCTCGTACATGACAACCCACTTGGGTTGCCATCTACTCCCAAATTTAAGGGAGGCTGTTATTCCGTAGAACAACATGACCACAAGATGTCATGTCAAGGGGTCCGGAGTACCTCTCGGGAACTTTTGTATGTGGTTTGATCGTGTAGCCTTATTTATCAAACTACACAAGAAAACGATGTTCAACATCAGTATTTCAGCAACAGGGACCACCCAACTACTAATGAACCGTGATCCATCCATGTTTTACTTTATTTATCGTTGTCTTTCCTCTGTATTTTGCCTTTTCCTGAGCAGACTGGGATTTTTGGCACCGCGTAAATTATGATAAGATACTAAGACTTGGCTACGCCCACCGGTAGGTTTCAGGTGAGGAACTTCAGGTGAGCTAATTAGCATTTCACCTTATTAGGGCAGTATTGTTGTTTCTATGCTCCATATCTTCAAGTGGTCCTCTTCAACGTGGAATAAAATCAACCTATTTCTTTGGCTCAAGCAGCTAGAAGAAAATCTCTGTACCTTTATCCTTCAATTTTTAGAAAAATTCCTTCCCCGTAACACACCAGATTCACATACACGCAGCAGTTCTATCCTTATTGTACGACGTGTCACGCCTATGCCCTTAACATCTAACCCGGGAAGCGCTGTTTATATAATCTCCAAGCAGATCCCTTTCGGTGGCAAAAAGACAGTATAAGATTGGCCAGGCAGTATCCATTAGCCAGAGAAGGTCGGAAAAGGGCCATATATGAAAGCTAACGATCATTCCCCCACACCTCTGCTTGGAGAGTACTGTTTATAGATATAGGAAGGCGTATGCTCTCATATGATAATCCATGTGAGCAAAAGTTACGATCTTCCTTCACAACATCTGCTTGGTTTTCATTCATATGGTAATGTCTTCGACAGCGAAAAGTCCACTTCTGCAAACTTTGCCAGTTCTGCAAGCGATCAGCTGATCGCAAAAACACGTTTTTACGAATAACTTAAGAATGAAGCGGTTTTGGGCGACGGCCTTAAGCAGGAATAGAATAGAGGCCTTAAGGAGTATACTACGAAAACAAGGAGGCCGGAAAATGTCAAAAGTTTCATTTTTCTGAAATTGAAAAAGCGGATATTCATCCCCTATCACACCCCCGTTTTCGGGTCCCCGTTCCGAAAAGGCCCGTATCTCGTTAACGAAGCCTCGCCCATTCCCAGATTTGGCCAATTTGCGACTTGGGAAACGCGATGGGCTCTTAAGGGGGTTTCACTTCAAGTCTTTCCTGCTCTTGTACTTGACCTTGGAGCGTTCTCTGACTACATAAATACCAGAAATGGATGAAGGAAGAATCGCTTTAGCCTTGCATTTTCTTATTTTGACACAAATATTCTTAGAAGGGCTGATATGAGCAGTTAAACTTGGAGTTTTTTTGCCAAAATTGTCTTAAGGGCGGTTTTACTGGCTATTTACTCAAGCAACTGGATATATGATTTGGAAACTGATTTGATATGGATATGATTTTGGAAACGTTTCTGACCGTTTCCAAAATCATATCCAGTTGCTTGAGTATCTGTTTTTTGCCATATAATAGAAATAACCTCTGACCTCTCAGACATAGTGATGTATTATCACTAATTGGAGTTTCCTAAATAAACAAACAAACAAACAAACAAACAAGTTCCCAGCCAGGGAAAAATGTCTCATCAGTTTATTCTCCACAGTTTCATAAATAGAATAATTCTACTTCTGAAGCAGCATCGAGTTTTTACCGTATTTACAATTTTACACGTCTGTAACTTATGTTTCACACTTGTATTATACCATACATTTTTAGAGTTAAAACTTTTGATTCAACACAAAAAGTTCTCTCACCTAGAGCTTTCGACCGGTCACTCTGGTCTTCCTCAGTAGACTGACCCAGTGAGGCTTGTCACATGGCTTTTGAAGTGTGACATCAACACTGGGTCAGTCTACTGAGGAATACCAGAGTGACTGGTCAAAAGCTCTAGGTGAGAGAACTTTGTTGTGTTGGATCTTAAGTTTTAACTCCAAACATGTAACTACCAACACAGATGAACTTTCATGATCATAGTATACATTACATTATTTCTGAAATCTTCTTTTCACATCCACAAATCACACAATTTACTTATTGCCAAATAACGGCAAATTTATATAGACGTTGTTCCACTGTATATGACATGTACATTGTACATTGTATCAAAGAAAGCGAAACAACTAAAATGAAACAAAAGGTCGAAATAAATTATTTTCAACAAATGGCCGCCTGATGGAATGGCACCAGAATTTGTTTATGTTATCATATCGCCATGAAAACAGGTAAGTACAATATTCGGTCACGAAAGTGGCTGATGTCAACCAGAAAGGAAAAGGACACATTTTTTCCACCTTAATCTAACTGAAAATGTACAAATTTAAAAACTTTTCTGCTGTGCAAAACAAGCCAGAATGCAAGAAAACACCCCTTTTTTTACCAGCCAAATTGCTAAAGATATTTTGCACAGTGTTAACAGATAGAAAAACTATACAAAAAAAGGCTGTTCACCACCTGAAATCAACCAAGAAAAAAAACATCATAAATTGGTCCAGACAAGGAAGTCGTCTTTCGTTTCGTAGAAAAATTTCAGAAAGAAAATATGGCCCCAGTTCTGATTGAAACACTTGAGACTTGACACAGACAAGCAACAATATGGACAAGTAAAGAAAAGTACATTGTAAACAAGTAAAAATAAAACAAATCACCAGAAAGCTTGCCTGCTTTAGTCTTTCACAAGTATAGGTCCACCTCTATATGTCCCGACACCCCTATGTCCAGACATACCTTAGTTACTAGAAGTATGTCAGAACATAGAAGTGTACAATAATGTATCTATTAGCATGTCCTTCCAATTCCCATATAAAGGAAGACAAAAAATAATCAAAAGAAAAACAAAACAAAACATAGAGACATGTTTAGAGTTAAAACTTTAGATCCACACAAAAAGTTCTCTCACCTAGAGCTTTCCACCAGTCACTCTGGTCCTCCTCAGGTCTGGTCGAAATCTCTAGGTGAGAGAACTTTTTGTGTTGGATCTAAAGTTTTAACTCTAAACATGTAACTACCAGCACAGATGAACTTTCATGATAACAAAGAGACATGTTGCTTGCTTGACCTGCCTGTGTACAATAGTGCTATTCAGTCATATTTCATAATTATATAATGTCCCATCCACACATAGTACATGTAGTTGGTACTAGAAGGTAGAGATATATCAATGACTATGAGTACAGTCAGTATTGCACAGATACTATTCCCTTATTTGGAGGTTTACATGTGTAGTTGTACCAGATATTACATTATTTGCTGCTGTAGGTGTCTACATAGTTATGCATAGAAGTCTGTATCTCTTCAACTACCAGATGAGGGTAATTATACAGTGTCAAATGTTATTTACAGGAACATTCAACATATTGCATTATTACATGTTGTAGATACCAGACTATATATCACTGTGTAAGACCACACAACTGTTATTTCATAGCTGACATCATCTTCGAATGAAACACACAAAACTTGCTTGTTTTGTACTTTAAGAATTCTTTTAAAATGTAATTTATGTGGGCTAATTTTTCCAAAACTGCATGGCAATTATGATGTCTTTATTTCTTTGAAAGTCCTTTGAAGAAGTCTCAACAAATTCTTGTATCCACTAATCTCCAAGCAGATATTTAGGTGGCGCAAAAGACAGTATCAAATTTGCCAGGCAGTACCTATTGGCAACCAACTGGAATCAGGATACAGTCTGGCCGATGGATACTGTCTGGCCAATTTGATACTGTCTTTTGCACCACCTAAACATCTGCTTGGAGATTACTAGTAGTATCCAGGACTTGTAGTCACCTTTACAGCGTGCGAAAGTGTTGAAAGTCAGTCCCCTACTGTATTAGGTGTGACATTTGTTTTAGCAGACATGCAAAAAAGATGCTACTCATTCAAATACACAATGATGTCAGCCATGAAATAAAGCCAGTTTGGCCTAAGAGATGGAAAATGCACCATACAGGACAGTACACCAAACAGTACAACATTCGACTGGCATATAAAGGGGAAATAAAAAATGAATGAAAGAGACTTCAGAAATGTAAACAAAATAAGGTACGACTTACCAACATTCGTGTGCAGATGTTTTAGGAGAAACAGGACGTTACCATGACGATGTTAAGACAGAAAAATTGCTTGACTACCACCCCTGTCTGCAGTTTTCATAGACCATCACTCAGTTCAATTCATCCTTTTTAACCCTTGTCCTGCGGAGCCCATACATATATCATATGAGTTGCACATACAGTACCACCCATATAGTGCCCTGTACAATTTGCAAGAAAATGCCAGCAGGACAAGGGTTTTCAGGTGACTCCACTTTTAAATTATCACTTCTGGAGTAAAAATCTCCTTCCCCCTTCCACAATTGAAACAACTAAAGACGTTTTTTTACTTTTTAACCCAAACTTTTCACCTCCAACGTTCCCCTTAAACTAAAGGACCTCCTACATAGTCTCCAAGCAGATATGAGGTGATGCCTGTTATTCGGGGGTTTTCGTTACAGTAACTTTTTACATCTTTCTCTCTCCTTGGGACTACTGAAAAACTGGAAACACACAAGCCGCACCCTACATCTGCTTGGAAATAATATATCCCACCCTAAATGGGGTAAGCAGATATGAGGTGATGCCTGTTTTGCGTATGTTTTTTGTCCCTTGGGGGCTCTTCTCTCTCTTGGGGGCTACTGAAAATGCACAAGCTACACCCTACATCTGCTTGGAGAGACAATATGTCCCTACATATGGGTAGTGGGCAGTGTTGTCGTCAGGCCTTTTGAGCATAGGGGCTCTGATTCGGACCCTATGTTGTCTTTCAACCAGCATAGGGGTGTTTTGGCGGGGGAGAACCTTCATAAATCTAGCAAAAAAAATACAACTTTAGAATGACACTATAGCACAGGGAAAACCTTAACTTTACAAAATCTGACCCTCAATAAGCGAGAAATAGTGTTTCAGGGGGTTATGAGTTTCAAATTTTTTCTGCTCATTGCGCGACTTGTGCCACGAAAGTTGTCCTTCTGTACCTGCCTGGGAAAAAATCCTGGTGAGAACCCTGATGGGTGCTCTTGAGATCCTCCCGTAGCTAAGATGTCTCAGGGCCGTGTCTCCAGGCTGAGAAGACGTCTGGTGATCACTGGAAGTCGGTGTGAGCGGCGTCCAGGGCTTCGATGTACTTCGGGTCGAGGATTCGTGGCATCAGGAGGTGTCTGGAGGGCACGGAGGTCAAGGGTTAGAGGTTAAGATTGATGTCATTATAGTCACCGTGGTGTTAAAATTTTTTTGCTATCAAATTCAGAAATGCAGCAAACTTTCAAAATAACACAAGGTTACAACAAGGAACTGGGGGCATATGAGTTAGTGCTTGTAAAATTGGGGCTTTGCAGGTATTTCTGATTTCTACCTGTACCTAACATGCACTGATCCATATAAACATGTAGGTGTATGTGAATTTTACTTGCTTCATTGACTGTTACTAAGTCTGAGTGGAACAGGACTGGTATAATCTGTCTGGTGGGGGTAATTTTCAGTGTTCCCTGCACCAGAGCAGGTATGCAGAAGAAAGGATTTTGAGCCCTAATCAATGTTACCTGGTACAGTGTTTGAAATCTGTTGCTACAATAAAAAGTGTTTAGAACTGGTTAGCTGATGGGAATGAGGATATGTTGTGATATTTACAGCGCTACACTTTCAAAACATGTTGCAGACTTTCAAAAATGTCACAAGGTTGCAACAACGTTGTTTCAAATCTGTTGCTACAATAAAAAGTGCGAGAGCTGAAAAGACTGTTTACCTGATGGGCATGAGGCTGAGGATGACCAGGGGAAAGACCATTTCTAGGTAGATGAGGGGAGCGAAGCCCAACCCGCACAGCAGGCCCAGCTGCAGCACCTGGCACAGAGACCACAAATGGATCTTCCCCAGAGGGACACGACGGATGTAGTGGTTAGGCGGGTACGCAGACTGCAAGAGAGAGATATCAGGTATTGCAATGTAATTTCTTATGTTTATTATGTGCTTGATTACTGCAAGTGTACGTATGCTATGCGTTTGTGTTCAAATATAAAAGTATCAGTACACAATCATCCATGCATCCACAGAAACACACACATACACACAGAAACAATCAAATAGTATGTTTTTCTACTTAATGCATCAATGTAATAACTTAGTAATACAGCCAAATTCTATTTCTAATGAGTTTAAACAAGCCTTTGATTATCAAACATATCTGTTCATATGTTTCCCTTATCACAAAGAAGCAAGGAGAAACCCAATCCCATTTCTAGGCTATATTACATTACAAAATTTGTAAACTATTCTTTTGTTGTGACCATCCATCCATCCCACTACATGTACTAGTCCCCACCTGTTCTGTGACCAGTAGCATAAGTCTCTCGAACAGCTGGTTCCCTGTCAGCGATGACACAGCCATGAACAGGAAGAGTCCATTCAGCACGGCCTGGGGGATGTAGTTCAGCGGAGAGGGCAGCAGGAGCAGGGACAGGCCGATCAGCACGTGGGACAAGATGGCCGCCACACGCGTCTCTCGTACTCTCACGATACTGAAGAGCGCAAAAGAGAAATGGAATGTTTTGACTACCAGATGATTAAACCCACAGCCTTTCTCATCATCAAGAAATAAATCTCTAAGTTTTTAGCTTATGATAAATGTCTTTAACAAGTCTATGTTTTATAGTACTTCTGTCATCATTATAAAACTTGCCTTCAGAAAAAGAAAGGTTGTTTGATTAACAATAATCAATTATCTTGCCTTGATGACATTGCACAATATTCTAACTCTATGTACAACTAACTTCACAAAATAAAATATGGCACATAGACAGAGTTAATTGACTTAATATATAATAGGTAAAAAAATAGTTGACTTGATAACCAAGATGCTTTCATGGGATACATACAGGTATTGTGTCCTTGGTCTAATGGTACATGGAAGTCAATTGATCAATTTAGTTAACAAGATATTGACTGTCAATAATATTTATCTAAACTAATAGACTTACATGGGATAGAGATGTCCCTGGGCCACCCATACCTCTGTGTACAGTATTTGACACACTGGTACTAGTTAACTGACTAGTTATCATTGATAGTTGGTTAACTAGCTTACATAGGATAGAGATGTCCCTGGTCCACCTATACTTCGTTGTACAATAGTTGATATACTGGTACTAGTTAACTGACAAGTTATTATTGATCATTATGATAACTAACTTACATGGGATAGAGATGTCCCTGGTCCACGCGTACTTCCACGTCTGCCAGTGCGCGCACGTGTAGCGGGGAGTGGGGCAGCGCACCGTGGACCCAGGGCAGACCAAACAGGGACAGAACCGTGTTGATCGCAGCTACCACAAGAAGGTCCAGATGGTACGCTGAACCCTTCTTCAGCCTGGAAAAACAAGTTTAAGAAATTACTCAAAACTGTGGCAGATATGCTACGTAGCCAAATATGTACATGACGATTGTAGTACGTATAGAAGGTTAGCTAATAATGTGCTGACACTACTGATGGCTGCCACCAACAGGAGGTCCAGATGGTACGCTGACCCTTTTTTCAGCCTGGAAAAGGAATATGAAAAGTTATTAACTGACTACTAGTTATTATTGATGATTGATTAACTAGCGGGGAGTGAGGCAGTGCACCGTGGACCCAGGGCAGACCAAACAGGGACAGGACCGTGTTGATCGCAGCTACCACAAGCAAGTCCAGATGGTACGCTGAACCTTTCTTCAGTCTGGAAAGAAAAAAAAATCATTGTCATCGGTACTATTCCTCTTCTAGTTAGCTGATTAACAAGTTATCCTATTAACTAGCTAACTAACTAACAGAGACAGAACAGAACCGTGTTGATGGCAGCTACCACCATTCTCTCTTCAGTCTGTAAAGGAATTTGAGAAGTAGTTATTAACTGACTAGTTATCATTGATGATTGATTAACTAGCGGGGAGTGGAGCAGCGCACCGTGGACCCAGGGTAGACCAAACAGAGACAGAACTGGGTTGATCGCAGCTACAACCAACAGGTCAAGGTGGTACGCTGATCCTTTCTTCAGCCTGGAAAAGAAGTTTGAAAACTTACTTTAGAAGTTCTTGAGAAGAAAAAAATGTATCAAAGCATGTCCTTGGAACTGCAATCCATAGGCATACATATATCTAGTTGTTTGGCAGCAACAACAATTTTGCAAGAAAGAGAAACTTTTTTCTTTTAGCAGCTACCATAATGCCTGTCCTTGGTGCTGAACTATATACAACTTATTGGTTTGGCTTCGAAAGGTGTGCATTGTATGATCAGAGGTTAGTAGCTAGTAGTATTTGCAAAGGGTTAGCGCTTCTCACAATGACAATACAGTACATAGAATTGAAAATGCTGAAGATTTTGAACTACCAGTCGTTAACTACCAGCATACATGACTTGTACATCCACATAGCATGCACGATTGCACGTAACATTCATCCCAGTCAGTTTTTCCTTACTTGTGAGCAGGGTTGTTGACGATAGCAGCACTGATGTTCTGGTCCATGAAGAAGAGCAGAGACAGACAGAACCCCAGCCCCAGGGCCACCACTCATTCATTACTTCACTCGCTCATTCAGTCATTCCTTTATCCCTTCAATAATTCACTCATTCCTTCCCTCCATCCTTACTTGTGAGCTGGGTTGTTGACAATTGCAGCACTGATGTTCTGGTCCATGAAGAAGAGGAGAGACAGACAGAACCCCAGTCCCAGGGCCAACACTTATTCATTCATTCATTAACTCATTCATTCATTCACTCATTCACTCATTCCTTCCCTCCATCCTTACTTGTGAGCAGGGTTGTTGACGATCGCTGCACTGATGTTCTGGTCCATGAAGAAGAGGAGAGACAGACAGAACCCCAGCTCCAGTGCCACCATTCATTCATTAACTCATTCATTAACTCATTCATTCCTTCCCTCCATCCTTACTTGTGAGCAGGGTTGTTGACGATCGCAGCACTGATGTTCTGGTCCATGAAGAAGAGCAGAGACAGACAGAACCCCAGCCCCAGGGCCACCACAATGGCAGTCGGGTGCAGACTGCTCAGAGCGACCATCTGGAACATCGCACGCTCCTGTACCTGGAACCTCTCCACTGGAAAAGAATGAGAAATAGTCATGTCTTCAAGTACCAGAGTTATCAACCAAGGATTACAGTGCCCTAAAACTCGTTTTTTCCTAGAAGTATTGTAGAGTGGAACTCGCTGTCACAGTACAAAACAAAAAGTACAGCAGGGGCATCATCACTAGATAGGTTCAAACAACGTTCAAACAATTGATCAGATGTGCTAAGGTTTAGGTGTAACAGGTTGATCGGTGTAATGTATTGAAACTGGTGTGTTAGACCAAAGGGCCATTATACCTGGTATCCAGATACAGATATTGGACTTACTTACCTTTTCATCAGAGTTAGAAATTAAAGAAAATGATGGCAATGGTTTTAGAACAGCTAGTTCTCAATGTGATCCATACATAACAAAACAGTTAAACAAAACGCTATGCCACTACTGAATCTAGCAAGCTCTGTTCTCTATTGACTATGTTATTAGTACTGTTTATTGTGGAACTTACGCTGAACGGCCCTGAATGCGTAGGATCCCATGAATCCGTTAAACACGACAGCTATGGGCAGAGCGTAGTCAGCCAGCAACTCTCGCTTTCCCTCTGTCAGGTATGGGCTGGAAGGAGATAACATACCGTTAACACACACAGATAGATGGACACACAAACACACACATGAGAAGTGTGAGTCAGCCAGCAACTCATGCTTCCCCTCGATCAGATCAGGACATCCAATAGAGTATAATTTCGATGCATGACACACATGCACATGGTAATACACAAGAAATGTATACATCAAAAGATAAGATATGTGACAATCACACAAACAAAAAGAGATAGCCTTAAAACACAGAGAAAGAGAGTGCCAGAGACAGAGATCTAGACAGAGAGAGAGAGAGGGAAACAGACAGACAGAGACAGAGGCCAGAACACACAAAAAGAGAGCCTCAAAGACAGACACACACAGACACACACACACACACAAGTTAGACTCAAACATGCTCAAGACATAATTCTGAACACTCTAACTAAACTTACCTCTTGGTGCAGTTATACAGGATAATCCAACCCACAGTGTATGTCTTATTGTAATGTTATTGTTAACTACCACATGACTATGTTGAGCATGTATAAACTACAATCGCTTACCTCTTGGTGCAGTTGTACAGCGTAATCCCAACCCACAGCGTTCCCAGCAGCAGGATCATGTGCAGCAGAGGTCGCTCCGGCTGGCAGTTGTCGGTCAGCACCCCGCTGTGCAAGGTCGTGCCGCTGTCCAAGGTCGCGCTGCTGTTCTCGGCCAGGCTACTGCTGTTCAGTGCTGTCAGGTTCACGTAGTGGCAGGTCCCTGTGTCAAAGTGCTGGTAGAAATCTGACAGAGGAAACAAAGAATTCTTAAGTCAATTATAAGTTTAAAAGATATGTAACTTAAATAGTGTTCGGATTTTTTAAATTTTTAGCAATCTGTTTTTTTTTTTTTTGTTTCACATAACTGGTTAATCTTTAGCAGTAACACCAGTTTGTACAGCTATGTAAGGCCAGACTGTAAGGTTTGATCCACTCATACCAGGAAAGACCCCTAGTCTGTTGACTGTCACACTGACTTGGCCTCAAAATGAAGAAATTTAAGAAAATTCATTTTTATGAAATGGCAGAAGGATGGCGAAAAATTTTACTCAATTTGACTTAGTCATTTTCCTTGAAGTTTATTCTATGATATATTACAACTTCTGTCACTGTTTCTATAGGGTGTATATAAATGTACAAATCGGCAATACTTTTAGCAACCACTTGCATGACTGCCATGCCTACCTGCTGTCAGGCTCCTGATGGAGTCCACCACATAAGCCACAACTATGAACAGGGCAAAGATCTCCTCAGTGGACCTGCAAATGAACAGACAGACAGAACAATGTGTTTAGCAGATGGTACATCCATTCATGTTCAGCAGTTCTAAAAAGGCAGTTTGAGATAGCACACTTTTGAGATACTCCTTTACCCATACTACTTTACAACCCTTTCAAATCCCACAGACACTGAGTATCAATGGCAACTCTGCATTGTTTATAAATAATGGGAATCGCAGATGGACAGGCAGACAAGCCCCAAATAATACTTCAATACCTTTGGTGAATTAAAAGAGCTCATGATCAAATCTTGAATAAGGTTAAACTTTTTCAAACTTTTTTTTGTAAAAGAGTGCAACACAATAGATGAACAGGCTTAGGGACTAAATGTGTGGCTGGGCATAGTTTGGCAGTGTTTTGATATGCTCAGAAGACAAGCTAGGAAACTGAGCTTACCTTGTAGTATACTTCATGACCCGGCTGAGCCCAAAGACAGAGTAGATGATGAGGAACCCGCTGCTGAACAAACCAACCAGCCCGAACATCGGGAGGAAATCAACCTCCAGGCTGTGGGAGAACTCATAGATAACTGGAAGTGTAGAAAAGATCATGTTGCAAGTCTTAGCTTTTCTGCAATGATGTTGCTTTGCATTAAAACATACACATATCCGGGCTTTGATTATTTGGCTGCCAGCTTCCCTGTCTCAGGGGTGGGCAGCAGTCGGCTAGACTGGACTCCACGTCTCCATGTGACACTGTCCAGTGGGTCAATGTATTTCGTAACACACTATCCTCGTCATTTCATACTTAAAACCATTTGAAATAGTCTCACTTTTTCGAAACAAGCTACCTGAGGAGTCCCCTATCTTTGGTAACACCAATAAAACAGCTACAATCAGCCTACAAAACAAAACAAGCAACCATGGTGGGTAGTGACTATCAGAGCGGGGATACATGACTGTAAACTAACCAGGATGGTACCCAGACTAGTAATGAAAGGCATAGTAAAATACTTACTTTTCGTGTACAGGGCGAGAGGTGCTGTAGTCTGCAGGATGACCAGTGGTTGCCCCCCGAACAGGGCAAACATTAGTCCTCCCAGGGTCTGAGACACAAACACTTTCTTCACGTCTGGGGAAAAAAGAAAATCCATCCAGTTAATATTTAATATCTATGTCAACAGTTAATACATACATTACATATGTCCACTTTCAACTACACATGTACAAACCTTGAGTTAAGTCTATTGCAATCCACAATTAGCCTAACGATTGCATTGTAGCTATTCTTCATGTGGGATCCCTCATTGCACAAAACTACATGTAATATTGAATACTCCTGAGCGAAACCAGTAATGTACTGGGTATATCACTTCAGCAGAAGGTCTCATCTATGGTTTTCAAATGTTGTGTGGGCAAAATTCTGATGCAATGTTGACCAAACATCGAATGAAAACTGTGAAAAATATGAGCAGTACATGTACACTCTTAAGGCATTAAGTATGTCATATGTGTTCACAGTAGCAAAATTTCATGGTCTGATTGAGAAAAATGGACATGTTCATAAAACTACATATTCACAGTGGCGACAGGTGCAGGAAAAAAAGTCCTGGAATTATTTGTTAACTGTAATGATAAGTTCACAGTACAGACTGAAGTGACAGTGAAAACAGTGAACATAACAGTACCATGAAAAAATCAGGAATTACAGTATGACTATTGAAAATATTCCCCTGGTTCTTACCAAGATCACCATGAGTGTTTCTCTCGTTGAGGGTTCCAAAGGCGATGGAGGGCAGAACGCAGGCAAAGTACAGGAACACGGTCGCTGACAGAAGCTTGTGGAGCGAACGCCGGCCTTTCAAACCTGGAGAGGACGAACGAAGGGAGGAAAAACTCAGGAAAAAAATGTAATTTAAAAAAGAAATTAAAAAATTGACCTTTAAAAGAATGAAAACTATTTAATTTTTTTTTAAAATTACCTTTAAAACCTGGAGAGGAGGAACAAGGGAATGAAAAGCTTAGTACAATACCTGCAATTTTAAAGGCCACTATTTTACAGAAATGACAAAATTGACCACGGGTATTTGCCCACTTTACATGTACCTCCATGACAAATTTCAGGTCATTGGTCATCAGGCCAGTGTAGCTGAACTTGTTGTGTGTATCTGTATAAATATTTTGTCAAAAATATCTGCTAGACCTACCATCCGTAAAGTCACTAATGTAGTGAGGAGCTCTTCTCTTTAAGTCGTTCCACACACCGGCTCCAGGCCGGAACTTCTGATCCTGTAGAAAGAGGAAAAAAAAAAGACTCAAAATTGGTTTGAACAATTATAAAAAATGGCAAATTGTTCCATAGTCTATGCAAAATATCATATTAGACTAAGACAACTTGTCAACTTTTCTCTTGATTTTTTCACTAGATTCCTTAAAGCAGTTTAAAAACAGGAGACTCACAGATGTGGACCCATAGAGCACTGAAAAGCTAGACTTAGTTTGACAAAAACTACCCTCATAAGCGCTGTGTAACGTTACCTCTGGTCTCTCAAAAGTGGCTGATGACTTCATCTATAAACCACCGAAAAGTTAGAACTTGTGAAACACAAACTACCATCACAATTAATAATCTCTAGCCTCAAAAAAGTGTGACAAAAACTCCCTCAAAAATTTTACCCCTGGTCTCTCGAAAGCAGCTGCTGACTTGATGGCCTCCTTTTGGATCCTCCTCTTGTCATTTTTGTCCCCGCCACGGAGTTCCTCCTCTGTTCTCTTCAGCGTGGCCATGAACTCTTCTTCATCCTGACAGTCCAACAACTCCTGTCGCACGTCTGGGTACATGAACAGGGATGAGAAGGTACGGGCTGTCTCCAGTGCGTTTCTCATGGTTTTCTGTGGAAAAATTGCAGAAAAATTCAAGTTTTTTTAAGATTTGAAGTTCGCCTGTGTTGGTAGAACTACTACTAGAAGTGTTGTTGGTAGTTGTGTCAACTTGGTGGAACAACAATTCTGAAAAAGTTTTGAACTGTAACTGTTCTGTTTGTAGGGAACATGAACAGTGGCAAGAACATCTGGGCTGTCTCCAGGGTGTTATGCATCATTTTCTGTGGGAAAAACAGATGTTTGTTTGTTATGCTTTATTTGTTTACTTTGCCATAAACTCTTGTTCATCCTGACAGTCCAGAAGCTCCTGTCTCACGTCTGGGTACATGAACAGGGATGAGAAGGTACGGGCTGTCTCCAGCGCGTTTCTCATGGTTTTCTGGGGGGAAACATAAGTTATAAACAAAGTTTATTGCAAATACTTGCCCAAGGGCAATGGGAAAAGGACAAGGAAGCAAAATGTGACTTTTGTGTTGTAATGCTGGCTCTAAATTCTAACTTGTTGGATTTGACTTCTTTTTCTGAGAAAGTGGAGGATGAATGTAATGATTTTGTGACGATGATCTAGAGAGCAATTTTCTTTCTTTTTTCTTCTGTAAATGCGGAATGAGTACAATTATAGCATTTGTTGCTTTCTTGAAAAACAACTTTAATAGTAACTCAACCCTACCCTATGCCAGAACACAGGGGTGTTGGAAAGTACTAGTACATGCATGATACTTGGAACATACTAGTAGAGCCATCCCCACATGTATACAGTAAACCTCCTACCTCCTTCCTGGGTGCTATAACCAGGATGATAAACTGGACCTCCTGGCTGGTCTCCCCCAGGTTCCGCGGGTACTGCAGTCTGGCGATCGCGACGTGCCGCTTCTTAATCTCCGTCACTGATGCACTGGAATGGAAGGAAAATAATAGTGTACTTATCATATACCTGTCCTTGGTGCTGAATGTGGTACAACAACATTCGGTGGAGTGCAAATACAAGTTTTGATACAGTAACAGGAACAACATAATAATGAACAAAGTACTACATACTAAGCATGCTGGTGAGGAAGGCATAGGCTATCAACTTGGGGCAGTATTAGAGGACGGTTATCTTTTTTGTTTCTTTGCACAGAACCATGAGATATTTATCTGCTACCATTTTCATACTTTTTCTGCTACTTTCCACAAGGCAATAACAGTTGGTTCCACTTCCTATTGAAGCTAGATATAGGCATCACCTGCCCTGAAGAAACTCGCTCCAGGACTGCTGAAACATAGGCAGGTGAACATCTCTCTATCTTGGTTGTTTGCAATCTTTGCTAAACAAAAAAGCTATAGGAAACTAACACACAAGAACACAGATACTTACAAAGCACAGATCCATGACTGGTCATAGTCGATCCCTCCATACTCTGTCTCACTGGTTCCCTGGATGGTTTTAGTGAAATGCCGGACTGGAAAAAAAAGACAAAAAAAATTTGTTTCATAGCCATGTTAGTAATACTCTATTCAGCCTTTATCTGACATCCTGTGATAAAAAAAGTGAATGAATCGATCAACTAGAAAGGAGAAATTTGAAAAGCAAACTGCACATAGTCTAGCCTAACAAAGTATTGCTCTGTTTATTCTTACTCCAACACATTCATGTATATATGGTAACCCTGTCCCTTGCTACATCATGTAATCCAACACCACAGGGTGTCTGCTACAACACTAGTTACCATGGTGATGGCCACCTGGTCCAGGTCATTGACCTTATGCATTTGGAAGGAAGAAGAAACTAAGCAAAAACAATATGCTTTCTTTCTGTGAAGGTAAACATGATTAATAACAAAATAAACCGACCTGAGTCATGTGTAAAAAGTGCTGACTTGGCAGACTTCATGGTACATTTCGTCTCATCCTTTAAGATCCTCTCCAGCATGGTATCTAAGATGTCCTGTAGACTGGTCTCCACCATGTCTAACATCAGCTGAGCCATCCCCAGGAAACTCGCCACGTCCTTCTTAGCCTGCACCTCATGCCGGAAGTCTTTCTTAGGAATTCTCTGAAGAAACAAGAATAAATGCTGTGTCAAGACAGTTTTATGTTAGTTCAGAAAAGAGGAAAACAAAAATTAGATACATAGTCATCATCTTTCCTAGCCTGGACCTCATGCCGGAAGTCTTTCTTAGGAATCCTCTGAAGAAACAACAAAACAAAAGCTTGTAAATAAGGGAGTAATTGTCATATTCAACAGAGTGTTGACTAGTTTTGTCAGTTAATTTAATGATACTGAAGAAGAGTGGTGGATGTCACTAGAAACATCTGGAAGTGACCTCCATAATATATCCAGTAGTAGATATTGAATTGTCTTGGAATATTCTAACCTTCATCAGTGTTATGAGTATCTTATGGTTGTCTAGAAAAGAGAACAGAGCAAGGTCAATATGTCCGTGTTTGCCTTTCCTTTGTAAGAGAAATTTTGCAAGGGAATTCTCTAAGAAAAGACAAGCATCTTCAGTGCCAAGGTTGTCCCTAACATATCTCTTGGCAGTTCAAAAAGGCAAAATTTGAACAACACGTCCTCACTACTTGTTTGTTGTCTCCTTGTCAGAAGCTGAAGCTACACCTAGTGAACCTAAGCCAAACTGCACCATCCGTGGCTTACATACAAATGAAAAGTAAACATTACAGCTCAATATCAGAGTCGGTCATGTAGAAAATAACTTCTTCATATCGTGTGTATTAAAGAGATTGCAAAACGTGTCTCCAATATTAAATGTTCGCTGTCAGATTTGAGATGACATGTTGAAGGGTAGAATCATGTGGGGGGGAGTTTCATTTATCACTATGAATGGGTGGAAGGGTGAGTTAGATTTTGCAAATATTTGAAGAAGTAAATAGTTAAAAAGGTTAACATTTGGATTTGAAATTCTCAAGAAAAGAAACACATAAAAACAACTAAAAAAAAATCCAAGGACATTCCACGAAAATTTTTGCTACTCTTTTTCCAAAACTGTTATTTTCAGTTAGCCTCGTACCCAGCAAAATGTACTCTCTAGCGGACCAAATCCCTCGGCATGTTGTCTCTCTATATTTGACCGATTTCTACTCTTTCCAGCCGTCTCCCGAAGCCTGGTAGAGGTTAATTTTCAGTTGCTTTTCGCAGGTGCAATTTATAAAGGAAAGTCACAATCAATTTGCAACAGAAATTGTCAAAAGAAGCCTCAGAGATCGCTATATAGGTGTGACTGGCACAAAGCTTTAGCGTCTTTTTTAACCTAAAATTTCTTGAGAATAGAAATTCAAGCAGCATGAAATGACGGCCACACAACTCTTAAATCATTCATCAGACGTGAATTTTACAAAGCTTGCGATCAAAGACGAGACCAGGACTTTCCATCAAAAACTAAAGATTGATTGATAGATTTTTCAAAGCCCACTCGATGTTTCAAACGCAGATTTTCTGTTTGCTATTCCTTTAGTAGCCCACGCTTTGCGTCAGTTGGACAGTCGGCCCCTTTGGTCAGACCTTCCCATACATAACTCATCGGCACTTAAAACGCGAACACTCCAGTGGATTCGTTTGTGCATAAGAATAAAAGACAGGCGAGTCTCAATTAAGGGAGATCAGAAACGCCGAGAGGCAGCTTATTTCTGGGTTTAGTTTAACGAGTGGATCGTTTGAATTTTAAGTTAAGTCAGGATTCGGGAGTGGTTTGAAGAATTGACTTTCACATTCTGGACACAGTAGAACGAGTTGGTACGTCGGTAAAGCAAGTTTTTCTTCTGAAATATCTGAAATACGCGGCAAACTTTCGCAAAAGTTGTGAATTTTTTTCTTCTTGTATGAAGTACAGGGTTTGGAAATGTTAACATTGAGTTACCACTTGAAATTGTAGAATGCAACGTGTAATCATTTTACACGATAGAGTTTTCCTCGTCAGAATGTTTTAACCACGGCCAGATGTTAGATATAGAGGGTTACATATAAAAGATTTGATCTGGCCAGATATATCGAAGGACACATTTTACTAGTTGACTAATACGGTGCAGAAATCAGATAGAAAGTTAATTGGGAAATGGTATTATGTCGCGTCGACGTATGTATGTACGTGTGTCTATCCGGAAAGTTTTCGTTGCGTAGGTGGAGCATTAGGTTTACAAAAAATGATTTCCACCCAGTCCAAACGTCCCTGCCCTTTCCCATCCTCGGAGACTTTTCCACCAACCTTTTCCAACCTCATAATCCTGCGAATTTGACGACCTTCGCTCGGACCAACTTCAGGGCGGATAGACATGAAATCTGCACGCGCGGCGGCTTACCAGGGCTTAGGGGACCTTTACCGGAGTCATCTACATGGAAATACCGGCCGCGGGGTCGTATGGCGTGGCGGCAGAGTGCTCGACTCGGGACCAAGAGGTCCCGGTTCGAATCCTGCCATGCCACCAATCTTGTGCCCTTGGGTAAGGCACTGAACACGACTTTCCTCACTAGACTTAAGTGAAAATGAGTATGGTCTTGTCCTGTTTTCGTCCTATATCTGCGTTGGTGACCGCATAAAATAAGTTGATATAACTTGAGTGTGCCGTCACCATGTCTGGTCATGAAATGTTGGAATTAAAAAAAACATCCCGGTCACGACCCGGCGTGATGGTGCCGGGATTCTCCCCGAGTCTTCCCGGCTTAACGAGAAGAAAATTAACGCGCTCGGGTAATCCTCTTATAGAGTTAGAGAGCGGGAAGGCAATCAGGTATGGTACACCTCACGGGCGAGTTCCGCCAAGCATACAAAACCCGGGGAGCTTGAAATTACTTCTTTCATAATGGAATCAAAAAAACGCGAGGGTTTCCGGTTTCATTTGGAACGTTCGAACGCCGTTTCGAGAGATCGAACGAAGGAAAGAACACCGTTCGAAGGAACGCCGTGGGGATACGGAAGCGCGTTCCCATGGAGACGTTCTATTTACACCATTCGATCGAATACCACCAAGAAACGTTCCAAATTCTGCCTTTTAATGGATTAACTACGCGTATAAACATTCAAGTATTCACATCGGAAACTTTCTACCTTTATCAGTCAAATGTATGTATATTAGGCGTAAAACGGACTATTTGAACTCCATAGAATGTTGTGTTTCCAAATTCAGCACCAAGGACAGGGGCAGTATGGTAAACTCTGCGTCACACAACAGGAAAATACGTCGTCTACCGCGAGTCTGCAAGCTCTAAAACGACATTTCGGCCTGAATAAGACTGGTTCAGTGCGAGTCTTAGGGATGGGCCGATGCTCAAAGCCCCGTCCAATATGCTAGAGTAGGTTTTCAGGCGGAAAATACGCCCGGCTTTCAGGTAACTTGAAATTCGGAGAACTTCTGGTGATCCACAAATTAGGTCGAATGCCGTCGGCTTGACAGAATAAGTTCAATAACTGTCAATAGCTGCAATGGATGTAAGTTCGGCACAGAGGAAGGAAGAAAAGTTTCTTACCTCATGAGAAGCGTACATCAATGTGATGTCTTGGTTTGAGAAGTCGGAGATATCTGTAGGAAAAAGAAACAACAGAACGAATTCATACAACACCAGCGCTGTGCTCTTTTTAGAAATATTTTTCTAAGCACTTTATTTCCATAAATAAGGCCTGTACATAGAAGAGCTAAAAGTTAATACAACATAATATAACAGTTACATCACAAGGCAAAGAGCTGTCCTGTTTGAATCCGCCCACGATGTTCTACAACGTCTGAATGCCCTACGATATTTTTTTTACATTTGTTTAGGTCCATCTTTTAGTTACAAAATAAGCGAATAGCGTACGCTCAACCTACGACGAAAAGTTACTTCCTTGAACTAACGATTTTGCACATTTTTGGAGGTATCTTTCTGCTACTAAACAGGTAAATTTCTACGCCCAAACTACGTCCAACTTTTTAAAACCTTCAATCGGACATCAAGACTTTTATAACTTACTAGATCTGCAGTCAGTGTCGAAACCTCCATCGTCGAAGTCTATGGTGACGGACCCACTGACGGAGTCCGGGGTCTGGGGGACAGACATGTTGGACTTGGAGCGGCGGTAGCGCTTTTTCTTCACAACCTGGAAACAACACGGGAACAGACAACGTTAACAAGAGTAAAAACAAGAAAAATTTTGGCTCCTGCATGGTGGCAAATGTGCAGATGTTGGCACATTGGCGCACCAAATCCGTAGTGTATTTTCTGGCACACATATTTTTAGACAGATTAGCCAAAATTGGCGTCACTCCACCGTATAGGGAATGAAGGAAGTGTAAAGTGCCTTTCCCAATGGCACAATGTTGGGGCATGGTGAGAATCGAACCCGGGACCTATTGGTTCCGAGTTCAACGCTCTAACCGTTGACGACGTCACTAAAACACGGGAACGGACCACGTTTACAAAAGTAGAGTAGAGTAAAGTCTACGGTCGGGTAGGACGTCCCTCAAGTTTCGACCGCTCCTGATCTTTCTCCTCTTCAACCAACTGTCACGAACCACACGAGACATGTACAGAATACGTGGCATACATCCATTCGAATACTTGTAGACACACATTTTCGGAATGCGAAATGACGTGGATTCCCTCCGCTAGCGATCCTGAAGTCACTGTGGACGTCATCATGGGGTTCGATAAATTGATAGAGAAAGAATGAGAGAGTGTGTGAGAGAGAGAAAGAGAGAGAGAGAGGTAAATAGCGAGGGAGAGAGAGAGGAGAGAGGGGAAAGAAAGTTACATACCGAGACAAGTAGAGAGAAAGAGATAGTGGAAGAAAGAATCAACTGAAGGGAAAGAGAGAGACTGAGCTAGAGAGAGAAATCTAGAGAGACAGAAAGAAAGAGAGAGGCAGATACAAATCAAGAGAGAGAGAGAGAGAATGAGAGAATTCAAGCAAGAGTGGAAGCGAGAAAAAAAAACGGCTGGTAACAACATGAAAATGAAGAGTTCTGTAAGACCTTGTCAACCTCGGCCTCAACTTTACGCACGGTGAACCGGAAAATTTCTGTGACTGTTCAATATGTTACCAATTACAATTAGTACAGGAGGCGTCAAGTTTGTAATTAGTAATTAAGTAAGCGCAAGCTGTTTCTTATGAAAAGGGCGTTTACAATCTCATGGCTTTGACGTAAATATTATGCACCATACTGGATGGATAGATGTGGAAGTCCAGGTATTTCTGGACTTTTATATATTTAATTAGAGTTATGCAATCATCACAGAAACACATGAAAAGCTATAGTTATGACCATGAAGTTGGTAATACACCAGCTTCACAGGCACGTGGCGCGGCGGCAGCTGGCTATATCACACCGAGCAACATGTTTCACCTAACCTTTGCACATATAACTTCAAACGCTTTTTAAATCTTTCACATGCAAACACATTATACTAGTTCCTAGGCCACTAAACTGTATATAAGAAGCTAATGACAATGATAAACATGTTAAGTAAAAATTAAACATCCTACTCCAGCGTTACCACAAAAGATTGTTTGGTGAGTAAACATGTAAGTAGACTTTTCGTCGTCTACCGTGTGCACATATGGTGATTACATACATGGCTGACTAGCACAGACCAGTGCGTCTTTTTATTTATGCCTTATTTAAACCAACTTGTATAAACTGCATTCAAATATCACATTTTCTGTTTTAAAATGGTGGGTTCAATTTCTCTGAATATATCAAACAAGACGAAAACTACGGTTATTCTGAGTTACAGTCAGTAGCGGGAGGAAAGTTACCTACATGTACAAGTAAAGGCCACTGCGTCTTTTTGTACGTATAGAAGACCAACTTGTATAACTTGCATTCAAATACCACTTAATCTCTTAGGGTGAGCAAAATTTCTCTGAATATCTACTATATCGGCGAAGAGTTAAACAAGAGTAAAAGAACGGTTATTCTGAGTTTCAGTATATAACGGGAGGAAAATTTTCCACTAGCCATTGCGTCTTTTTCACGCCTAGGAAGAGGAGCAACTTAAATAAACTATACATTCAAATATCACTTTCTTTCTTGAGGATGAGCCAACTTTCTCTGAATATCTAATATATCAGGGAAGAGTTAAACGCATAAAATAAGAGTAAAACAGCAGTTAACCTGAGTATTAGTAGTGAGAGGAAAGTTTCTCCCATCCTCGGCTGTCGGTCGCACGAAAATCATCCGGTAGCTTTCCTGTTGCGAGTCCGATTCCGACGTCATCTTTGTCGGCTTTTCTTTTCTTCTTCTTCCGTCTAAAATGTAATTCTCTCTAGCTCTTGACGTTCGAATGGCACATACGGATATGTCGTCCTTTCTTTCCCGGACACAATCTTGAAGAAAATGTACAGACGTCCTTCAAGAATGAATCAAGACACTCTTGGCATCGTCTCTCACAGTTCAAGACGTTTTCCATCCGATCGCTACGTCGCTTCGGCCGTCACTTCGTGTTCCGAAAGATATTTGCCGAAGGCTCCTGTTGTGTTTCACCCTGGCAGCGTTTTAACTGTAGCTGTTTTATCTAGAAAGATGTGACAATACATTCGTTGCCACCCAACAGCCTTACCGTGTTCTAGAACGCTGTTATGACACTGGTTATTATGACATGGGACGAATTACGACTTCAATTTGCCGACCTACATGTAGAACAATCTGTCTGGGTAATTATAATCAGCTAGATATGATTAGAGACAGTACACAAACATTTTGGCGGCCATTACAAGCTGTTGACTGTATCCAGAACCATACTTTTCCAGAACCATACTCAGGCGTATATTCTGGATAGTCCACGCGTATCCAGGACCAAGCTTCATCCAGAACCATGCTCAGGCGTACGGTTCTCAACCTGGATAGTCCACGGGTATCCAGAACAGTGCATGGGGCGATTCTACGGTCTTGGATACGCGGAGACTACCCAGAACCATGCCTGATCGATCCTAACCCTTAACCCATTCAACCCATAGAACTAGATAGGCGCGTCCTTGCTACAATACCAACCTTGCGTTCTTGTTTCAGTCAACTTCAAGAGTTTTTATCTATCCAACAAGTCTCCTCTTCTCTTGAGTATTAGTCCAAGGTGATGGTTGAATTTGCCCCTGGCGGCTCTTTGTCACTAATATCTTTACTAGAACACACGGACGGTACTTGTACGCCCCTATCTTGGTGTTCTGTAAGGGTGTTCTGACTCATAGGAAAATGTGTAAAATGTTCGCATATAGCCAGACCTGTCTGCTAATTATAATCAGATATGACCACGTGCGTGCATTGCAGACATTCACTGTCAACCTGGGAGGACGTGCATATAGGTCAGAGGCCATTGACCTGGCTGTAGGTCAAAATGACCTCTAGTTACGTTTCAGTCACTTTGTGCCCTTTTGGTTTAGAAAATTGTGGAATATAACCACTGTAGTACCTCTTTCATGTGGTCGTTCTGGCTTTTTAACCCATAGACTTACTACTTATTGTTATATTTATAGGCCAACTGTATTGCATATTGGCACCTGTCCGAGGTGTCACGACTTGACGTCATCAGCGGGTGATTGAGGACAAAAGCAGCGTCCCTAGCGGCTAACATGTGTACTACACCACTGTTGTGAAGTTTTCTTCTTTTTTTTGACTCAATTTTATTTCTTTTTGTCTCAAGATTCGAAGTGCAAGTGACGGTACATGTGTAGGATAGGGGCTAGGGGTGACGCCCTCCCTTTTTAAACCTTTCCACCTCCGCATTCTCACTTTGACACGCTAAACAGGTGAGAATGTAGCCTCCGTAGCAGGCTTATAGAACTGTGGGTTTGGTGGTCTTCGACTGTTTTCTGATTAGCCCAGTCCTAAAAAAAACGGGGGTAATTCAACCAGGCCGACTATGTTGTCTATATGCAATCAGAAAATAGCACATAAAGCTCCCAAACACCATGAAGACCCCTCAAAACCCCCAGTTTTTGGCATGGTATGGGGGCTATGAGAATGGGCGATCCCATGCCGACCCCAGTATCATGTGTCCTCACTGTCAGCGCAGAGGTAAATTTAGTTTGTAGCTGTCACCACGGGAAGATCTGTGCCTCCCAGGCCTAGTTAACTGCTACAAATCACACTGTAATAGGGAAGGCACTCTCGTATTCTTTGGCTCTAAAACAAATGACGAACGAAATAGCTGGCGGGCGAACGATATGTACATGAGTACTCTCCAAGCAGAGTGTTAGGCTTTAGGCTTCGGCTTATTTTGCCACCCGAAGTGGTTCGAACAGCTTTCTGGATTTGAGAGGCTCTCTCGTGTAGCTCTAAGGCTTGGCGGGCATCGTCTGTGTTGCATTATTATGAAATAGCCAAAAGGCCATAGTGCAAAATACAATGTTCTCGGCGTCAAAAAGACATGTTTGACGCTAGTTGTAGGAAAGGATCTACTATTCATTTAAAAAGTATATATATTGGTTGTAGGAAAGGATCTACTATTCATTTAAAAAGTATATATATTTAAAACCCATAACATATTCATAAGATGCGTTTTGAAACCCAACAACACTTATTTTAGAACTGTGCAGGTCTATTTGCATGTGAGCTCCTGTGTATCTCTGAATGTACCTTAAATAAATCAAAGAATTAATCAATCAAAATACTCTAGAGATAGTATATATAAAATATACAATAAGTAGTCTAGAATCTCCCACCTTTTTCCTGTGCACGTGGTCGTCGCTCCCATAGCCCAGGTAGGAGATGGTAGAGGCGAGGCTGATGGCCCCTGGAGACGCCGGGCGGAGGAGGTTAACGCCTAGCAACGCCTCGGAATCACTATCAGAGCTGGGCGGGACTACAACACAAAAGGGGGGGTCATTTTTTTACATGTTCTATATAGGTGTGTTTGTGTTTTTTATAGGTGTGTTTATGTTTTTTTAGTCAGAAAAACAGTAAGTAATACAAATGAAAGGACACAAGCTAAGTCGCTGTGAACTCAAGTTAGGCACAACTGCTATATATTCTCGCCCCCCCCCCAGGTAGGAGATGGTAGAGGCGAGGCTGATGGCCCCTGGAGACGCCGGCCGGAGCAGGTTAACGCCTAGCAACGCCTCCGAGTCAGAGTCAGAACTGGGCGAGACTACAACACAAAGAGGGGGAAATAGTATTTTTTTTTAAATGAATGAATGCCTTTGGGATAAGCTCTGAATGCTTTTGAGTTAGGCTCAGGTCACAAAAAAAAAGGAATGGTTTACAAAGAAATACGTACATTCTCAAGCTAATACTGATATTATAGTCTGGTAAGTGCATTCGGCCTTTGTACCAGCAACACAATTATGTAAATAAAATTGTAGTGTATAAAATAGCCCAGCGATGATAGATATATCTTGTAGCTTAGATATTTTTTCAAAATGTATACTGGTGAAGTCAGTTTAACAACAAATGTTGCTTTATTTGACATACCTTGTATTCGATACAATTGTTGCACAAACGTACGGCGTGTTATGTTTAGTTCGTGACCTCTGTATCCGTATTGGTGACCCCGTATACACACGTATCTGTCCTGTGTCGTTTACGTATCAACTATACAGACACATGGCGGCAGCTGATCATATTACATATCGAACACCATGTCACACTTAGTGTGCATATCGAATTCCAAGCGGAGTTTAAAGCTATCTAGTGACGATGCCTGCATGGCTGGTTATACATGTAGATGGTTCATACCAGGGGCCATGTTATTTCGTTAATAAAAACATGGATGCAATTCTAAAATAGCACCAAATGATTGATCAGGCGTATCAATAATAGATATCGATCAATCAATCGATGATTCAACAGCGTATTTTGATTCTATGCATTTAAGATGTAAATACCAAATGTAAATCTCTAACCGAGTATCTTACAGATTGTTTGTGTAACCTGTTGCTTGTATTGTCCCCCAGGGTTAGTCCTTAATAATAGCCGGTCTAACCGCCCTTCGGCGTAACACACCAGCTTCGCAGGCACGTGGCGCGGCGACAGCTGGCTACATTACACCGAACGACTTGTTACACCTAAGCCTTGAACATTTAACTCTAGACGTTGTTTAAAGCTATCTAATGACAATGTCCCTACTGTACTTTGAGTTCCACTCGATCTGCGATAGTTCTAGGAAAGAGTGAATTTTTGAACACCTCAATCCTTGGCTATCCCTAGTAGGGCAATTCCGGCTGTCCATGTTAACACATGCTTATGCCTAACTAATAAATAAATAAACAGCGTTTTTAGCCATCCGTACTGATACACACTTAGCAGCTATAAACATGTTTGTTGTATGTAAAAGGTGAGGTAAAAATTAGCTAGAGTCTCAAAGGTCACCGGTCGGACAACAATAATCGATTTTCTGAGTACCCAACCTTAGTACTAAACAGTATCAGGCATTCTCTAATTGTTGTTAACCGACCCACTTGACACAATTAAAGAATAAACTACTCGTAACTTTTGATATTCAGTAGCCGTTAAATTGTGAGACTATAATACTAAGTTTTTTTTTAACAAAAGGTAAGGGGGAGGGGCAGATTTTTTAGAATTTGCAAACGCAAAAGTGGGCGTAAACTAGGTTTATTTTACGTTACTGACCTTAATACCTGTCATAATGCTAACTACTAATGGTAAAGAGATATCTTAGAGTTTCTTAGAGTTTCACGTACCTCTCTGAAGAAGAAAAGCTCAGTTCTCGGCCCCCAAGTCAAGATGTGGTTTTAAGAAAAACCGAACGTGCCCGAGTTACGTAAGAAAAGGCTTCCAACCCACGCGTCGTCGGTTTGACCTTACGGGTGTCCAAAAGTCGTCTGACTTGTACCAATGATAAGTGACGTTACTATTTGAGTTTCTGCAGACCTTTGAGCTTGTGCTGCCAAAACCCTCGTCAACTAATCACGAATATATTACCCATTGTTTTGTAGGCAAGAACAGCTCATGAATTATTAAGGTTTTCGAAGTCATTAATCAAATCCACTTGGTTTTTTCCCTCCAGATTTAAGACACATTTTTACAGCCGGTTTAACCGGTCGCCATGTGGGTGACGCAATCCGGACAAAGTCTGACCACTGACTATGCAATTTATGACACACCTATGGGGTCGTATCCAGAAGCCTGTCTATCTAGTTCTATGCCTGAGTGGGTTAGGGTTAGAATCAGGCACGGTTCTGGATAGTCTACGCGTGTCCAAGAACGTAGATTTTTCCCATGTACGGTTCTGGATACGCGTGGACTATCAAGAACCGTGCCTGAGCATGATTCTGGATAAAACACGGTTCTGGATAAATGCAACAGGCTTGGTGACCTAGGGGGGCGTGACTGACCAGGATTTGATATTTGCATTAAACTTTATGCGTTTGCCACATGCTTTAACTAAGAGTACAGTAAGAGGGCGTGGTTTATATATTAGACGTACACAACTACAGGCATGGCCTGGTGCTATTGTCTAAACGAGCAAAATACAAAAAAAAAATGAATCAGCCATCCTGTCGATCAACAGCAAAAAACCTAATCAATGCTCGTTTGAAATTTATCTGACGCAATCTATCTCAACATAACACCACTCTTGACCGAGAGCTTGTCAAAAATGCGATCTTGAGCATCCTCAAATTTAACTTAAGTTTTACAGCCTAACTACGTACTACATGTACAAGGCACATAATGATGGGTAACGCGACGACACTGATAGTGTTGTTGTTAAGTAACACAGTCTCCAAGCAGAGGCAAGGTGTCGACTTCTGTCTGTATGCCTTTCTCTAGCATTCTGTACCGTATTCAGCATCAGTTGAGCGATCAAAACTGGTTGTGTGTGGCCCTTGATTTTATAATTGGAGCATAATGCAAAATGCAAAAGTATGATTTAAAAGGCAACAAAATACAAACTATTCACGCACAAGTAAGATGGATACGCTGACGTTGACGTACCGTACCTGAGCCTAACTCTAACCCATTCAAGCATAGTACTAGGTAGACACGGTTCTGGATACGATAGAGACTATCCAGAACCGTGCTTGAGGCAAATCTACGTTGAATACTCAGAGACCATCAGAGACCATCCAGAATTGTACCTGACCTTAACCCAATTTAGGCTATAGACACACACGGTTCTAGATACTCTGACGTTAACTTGCACGTACCTAAGTTCCCGTTTATAACGGGCGACGGCGGCGTCTCGTCGATCTGAGGGATCGGTCTGACCAACGGCGACGTAGGGGCGACGTCGGTAAAGTTCGGCGGCGACTGTGCGTCCTCTTCCTCCAAAGCAGCGGCGTCCAAAGCTCCCAGTTCGAGCTGCTCAGGGCGGGGGGTGTTGTCGTCCCCGTTAGACATTCTCAACTCCCGCGCTAGGACGTCTTCTCAGGGTTCAAAACGTCTTCTAGGGTTTCTCCCAGGTATCTTCAGTTTCTTGAGAAGTTCGCCTGTGATAAAAGGTGGGGTAAAAAACAGGTATTATGAAGGATCGGAGGTAAACAATGCGGGAATGTTTGCAAACAAGCCGAACAAATGGAGAGCTTTTGTCTGAAAGTATCACACGAAATTCGATTCGGTCAATCGACACCGAATCAAGCAAGAAGATCGCGCCTTCTGTCTTTAGCAGCGACCACAACAACAGCGAGCGATATTCCGAACCTCTTCTGTGTACGCGGTATTTAAGACTGACAGGCTTACATGTACGTGAGGGCTTTAAGTGTAAATTATTGCGGTTAGTTTGTGTACACATGTATGTAATAAAACAAGTGCTTCAAAAAGAGCTGTCGATGCTAAATACTAGTATTGGGAATGGAGGCTAATGGTAGCCTCTACCAGGCACCGCGGATCGCTGGAAAAATAGTAGAATTGGCCGAAATAAAGGGATAATATACCAGGGGAGTTAGCCAATTTCTACTATTTTTCCAGCGATCCGCGGTGCCTTGTAGAGGCTAGGATAATGGTAGATGAAGAAACGATAATCTTGAAAATAAAGAAAATAAAGTGATCTTAAACCAGTTTATAATTAGTTACTGAAGAGCTAATATCCCACTGGTCGTGACAGAGAAGACAAATGATATGTACAATAAAAACAGGTTCATTGTACAGGGTAAATTCTAGCTGTTTTCGACAAGTACAATGACTTGGGTTAATTAACGTCGCGACCGAAGGACTGTGACCCCTTCCAGTAGCGTGCATGTCGGGATTCGAACTCCCAACCTCTTGGTCCAGGGGCAGGGCCGCTAACTACTTGATATAACGAAATCTGGAGATGTACCACCCCTTTTATGCATTCAGATCGTACGCTTCTTACATCAATATTTATTATACACAAGATGAGGTCTGACCACCTACAAATGGAAGTCGTTTTCAGAATTTCAATGTGTCCATCTCTGCAATGACTATGTCAGCAAAGTCAAGCCAAGAGAGATGTCAGCAAGGCGCCGAAGTAATTTCTGAGCAGTAGACTGGATTTTCAAAGTCAATTTTCTGAAATTCTTTTTAATGTAGTGTTGGATGAACTCTGCTCCATAGCATACTGATATCTGTGAGGCGAAAATGCGATGTCGCTGACGGAAAACGGTTGCATGTTTTGTATCGTAGACTGATTCTAGCTATTTATTGGTGGTACCCAAAAATAAAGGCACTCCTAACGTAGCTTGTTTTAGGATTATTCAAAACACTTTAAGTATGAACTGATTACGAAAATGTGCTAAGAAATGGCAAGTAAATGTTATTAATATCCGTACAGATTTCGTCGTCAAGAATATCTTTTTTTGTTGCGCCGTCTTTGGGTCAGAGGCAACAGAAGACTGAGCGTAATACAGGAAGTCAGCGGATACAGGGAAACCAGCTGGAGAT